CCGTGGGGAGGGACATCGGCGAGCCCCAAATCACGACGCTCAGGGGCTGTTTTGTCCTGCAGTAAGTTGACTGGCCGCGTTGTTTTATTCAGCCGCTAGCTCACAGCGAGGAGTTATTGTTTTTGCCGAGCGGCTAGTAATAGCCCAGAGCTTTTTTGCCAGCTGGACTTGTTGGTTAGCTGGCTGGCTCGCTGGCTCGCTGGCTGGATGGTTGGTTGGTATTGGTTGGTGGGTCGGTCGGTCGGAGAACCGGTCGGTTTGTTTTTCTATGGTTTTGTTTGGCTTGGCATTTTGTTTGGTTTAGTTTGTGTGTTTGTTGGTTGGTTTGTTATGTCTCGGCGGGACGTAGGATGCTATCCAAGGCAAGAAGGTTGGAATTGGGGGAGCCGATGAGTTCCCACGTCCAGCACGCCAAAGACTCGTTGAACAGCACTTTGAATTGAGGACAGTAGTCCTTGGACGATTCTGGGGGGTTGACTGGTGTTTCTTCCAGGGCATGTGGTTGTGCGTGTTTGGTTGGGAAAGCCACATTCGAACCAAACGCACGGATGGGGATTAAGAGATTGCCTGGGTCGATGAATCATGGTGGTGCTCCCTGACAGGGGAACCCACAAAGGCGTGTTGTTGGTTGTCCGAAGCCATGTTCCCAAGAGAGGTGAATCACATGGATCCCACAGAAATTCAAGGTGGTTCCCCGCGGCTATTTTTATTTCTTTATTTTTTGTTTGGGGTTACTCACTGCTCCAAACTTCGCTGTGAGCAAACCACAAGCGTACAAAATAATTGGTGTTGGGTGCTTCTTCCACCCCAGCTGCCTTTTTGAATCATGTCCAAATCCCCTTGGTGCTGTTCAAAAGGCAGGATGGCAGTTGTTGGGTATATTGTTGGGTGCTGGTTCCCTTTCCTTCTCGACCGGATGTCTCGCCTGACGTTGGACCTAGTTGGTTCGGAAGTCCTGGCGGAGCGGAGGCGTTAACGGACGAGAAGGGTCACTTCATCACTGGCTACAAGGACTGCGCTTTACCGGGGCCCCAACGTGGAAGGCAGTTGTCGATGCACCAGGTCATGGGACCCAATGCAGACCGCACTGCGCGGTCCTATGAAGAACCCAGATGATGGCCGCTCAACTTAGGCGGCCTAAGTCATTCACGTCTCAGGCATGTCGCAGACAGGTTCAACCCAAACATGTTTGCTTGGTTGCTGGAATCTACGGAAGTGGAATCACTGGGAATGTTTGAAGGCCGCGAAGATACAAGGATGCCAATGCTTTTGTTGGACCATGAGCGGACGCCTGCGAAGAGAAACATGTTATATGTGTTTGGAACCAAAAGCGATGTCCACCGTGGGAACAGCATATTTCGAGGCTCTAATGCACATCTCTAATCTCCATGAGTAGAACGAGCTTGATATCAGGGTGTCTTACCCTTTGCGAGCCACTTTCGGATGGTGTCAAAAGGGAATCCGTCATTTCAACAGGACCCCAGTCAAGACCCTTGCTGAGCGCCAGGGATCCTTAATGAGAAAGTAGCTTAGGTAGTCGCCTTTTTACCCGATAGCCATGTGGTAGTTGGACCTGGGGTTTTATCTGAATAATGGCCAGTACATCACAACAAAAGCCGTGCTTCAATTTTGCAATTGGGACCTCGCCATATTTTCTCTTGGGTAGCAAAGGCATGTTGTCAAGGCCCTATTTAGTCCCAGAACTGACCCTATAGTCGTTCTTGATCGGAACCTCAACAAAGTTCCAATGAACAGATTGTGTCGGGCCCGCGGAACAGAAGTGGACGATGTCCACTTCACACCAGTTGACTAAACCCTACTGAAATACAGCACCTAGTCGAAAGACCTAGCCATAGGCAGTGGTTTAGTACCCGCATTGTTCACCATTGGCAGCCCGGGCCCTCAAAGCATGTTCCTAAGAAGAGGGTGGGTCCGGCTGTGTTTTTGTGCAGGAGCTGCAATTGCCAGATGGCTCGCTCTACAGTGGCCAGCCTTCTGGCGTAAGGGGCCAGCCTTCTGAGGGAAGTTCAAGAAAAGCCTAGTGGGTGTTGCTCAAGAATTGGGTTTCCTTGCAATTGTTTTAAGGAGCCATGCCGAAACCAAGCGCCTTAAGGGTCCTCGATTGTTTGTGCTGGTTTGTTTCGTGTTGTTTTGCGGTGTGTGTGTGTGTGTGTGGGTGCGTGCGTGCGTGCGTGCGTGCGTGCGTGCGTGCGTGCGTGCGTGCGTGCGTGCGTGCGTGCGTGCGTGCGTGCGTGCGTGCGTGCGTGGCGGGCGTGGGCGTGTGTGTGTGTGTGTGTGTGTGTGTGTGTGTGTGTGTGTGTGTGTGTGTGTGTGTGTGTGTGTGTGTGTGTGTGTGTGTGTGTGTGTGTGTGTGTGTGTGTGTGTGTTTGTTTGTTTGTCTGTCTGTTTGGTTGGTTGGTTGGTTGGTTGGTTGGTTGGTTGGTTTGTTTGTTTGTTTGTTTGTGTGTGTGTGTGCGCTTCCTAATGTATTCTGTTAGCGTGTTTGTTATTGATTTGGCAGCAAGTACGTTCGATTGGTTGGTTGGTTGCTTGCTCGCTTGCTTGTTTGCTTGCTTGCTTGTTTGCTGGCTTGTTTGCTTATTTGTTTGCTTTTTTGTTTGCTTTCTTTTCTTGCTTGTTTTCTTGCTTGCTTGCTTGATTTCTTGCTTGCTTGCTTGCTTGCTTGCTTGCTTGCTTGCTTTCTTGCTTGCTTATTTGTTTGCTTTATTGCCTGCTTTATTGCTTGTTTGTTTGTTTGTTTGTTTGCTTGCTTGTTTGTTTGTTTTGTTTTGTGCTGTTTTGTGTTGTTTTGTTTGTTTGTGTTGCTTGTTTGTTTGTTTGTTTGTGTGTATTTGTTTGTTTGATTGCTTGTCTGTTTTGTTCGTTTTGTTTGCTTTGTTTGTGTTGTTTGTTTTGTTTGTTTGTTTTGTTTGCTTTGTTTGTGTTGTTTGTGCTGTTTGTTTTGTTTGTTTGTATTTGTTTGTTTGCTTGCTTGTTTGTTGGTTTGTCTGTCTGTCTGTCTGTCTGTCTGTCTGTCTGTTTGTTTGTTTGTTTGTTTGTTTGTTTGTCACAATTGATGGTGTGCGAGCGTGTGTGTGCGGAAAGTGGCGGAGCCAACATGCAAGCCATTGTTGCCATGGATGCCTTGGTAGTTGCAACACCTTGGGGCCCCATTGCAAAGTGAGTTGGCCTTCACAGGGCCCCAGAACGACAACGATTTCTATATCCTGACTAGATGGTAATCATGCGTACCGGCACTGTTTTTTTGGAGCACACAGCAACGAGTTTGAAAACGACAGGTTGACTCATGCTGACTTGGTTTTTGGGCCAAAGTTGGGAGAGTGATTCCGTTCCCTGGAGTACGCAATGGCTGGTTGCCTATCTAGTTGTTTTTGCTAATCCCTTGCACGCAATAGCCAGTTTTAGCCACTGGCGCCTGCGAAGTTCGGTAACTCCTCTCGCTCCAAGGTTCGTAGGGCCAGGGGTGCGACGGTGTTGCTTGGCTATGAGTTCTCTGTGCAATCTGAGGGGTGACTAGTGACCATTACCCGCCCGTTCCCCCTCCCCCTCCCCAAAAGCCTCCCCTCCCCCAGGCGTTCGACTAAGGCTGGAGAACGGAGACCCCCAGGGCGTCGGCAAGATGATTTGGCCGGATGGAAGGAGAGACACAATTCGGGATGCCTGGAGAAACTTCCCGGGATCAAAGTTCCAATTGCCACGATGGATTGACCAGCTAAACCATTGGCAACCTGCAACCCTTGTGTTAGGTCATGGTTGCAACAGCCTGCGAAGGCCGGGAATTCGCGTAGAGGCAAATCACGTGGATACCAAAGAGGGGTTTTGGGGTTCCTGCGGTACGTGGACCAGTGGAAGGATGAGAAAGGTTTTGGGGACAGGTTTGTGAAGGAACCTGCAGGCTCTTCCTTGCACTTCCGCCTCCCTTGTTTGCAGAGGCAGCTTAAGGGCCGCTGTTAAGGCCTGCTGCTCGTATCCCGGTTCCTGGCGGAAGCGCAAGTCCCGCTCAACGTTTTGCGGGTCTGGCCAAAGAAGTCTTAGATCAAAAAGCAGCCTCCCATTTGCTGAAGAATGTGTCCTTTTTCCCCGGGTTTGAAATGGAATCTATCACGCAGACGCGCACTTTCAGGCCGGAGCTCCAATGGAGAAGCCCAAACCACGACCAATTCCTCGGGGGCATTCATAAATTGAGGTCATACGGGAGCCTTTGGGGGTTGATCACACATCGCCCAATTCGTTTCCAGAACGAAAGAGTGGCCAAAATATTGGGGACCCCGATCTCATAGTGATGCCTCGGGTCCCAACATACTTTGCACAACCATGGCCATGTTTTGTGTGATGTGAGCACATGTCAGTTGCTGACACAATGAACATTGACCGTGTCTCTTATGAGTGTGTCTTTTTCAGGGAACCCCGAAAAAAAGTCAATTGAGGCTTCGGTTTTCCTTTGGTGTCCTTTAAAGCCACAATGGTACCCGAACAAAAAAAAACAATCTTCCCAGAAACTTGCCAGACCGAAGTTGCAAACTGTTTCAATCCCAACGCACTGGTGATAGCACCCTACCACACATGAGCCCTAAGGTTTTGGGTACCCCTCACACCCATCCACTTGCTTGGGGTTATGATGTCAACCCCCGAAAGGGAGGTCTCTCAGTACCATAAGTTTCAGCCTTCAAAATGCCTGCAACCTCTGAATCGGCCAAAGTTCTAGACCCCAAAAAGTATCCTTGGTCTGAATTCGCCGTTTTTTGATGAAGTTTCGCCATGCTTCTGAGGAAGGCCGTTGCTTTTTGACGAGTTCTCGGGCAGAAGCGGCTTTCGGGGATCCGGATCCCGCCTCCTTTCGCCAGGACCTTCCGTGGGAAGTGGCTGCGTGGCCAGCCTCACGGCCACGGAGCTTGGGCCTCGGATGTTGCCCGGTGAACGAGCCACCCGGCTCGGGTCCCGACATCGCTGGGTCAAAAGAAACCACCTGTAGGTGCTCCAGCAGTGCCCTTTCTCACCCCCTGTTTCGTTGCTAGGGTTCCCCTACTAAAATAGACTAAATAGATTACAGAAAAAGGGTACCCTTATTCTAACCTCTCTACTGGAGGACCTAGCCACCCTTCCCATTTGAGGCGGATCACAATTTTGCACGACACACCCAGCGGGCCGAAACTGGTTGTTTCCTTTTTGGGGTCATGGTTGGGGCTGCATTGGCGGGGTCACGATCTTTAGGGCAATGAAGAACCAATTCAGGGGCCCGAAAAGAAACAGGCCCAGTTAGCGCCCAAACTTGTTTGGAATCGGACCCTTGACGTAGACCTCAAGTGGACGAGTGTTTTGGGTATCGAAACCCAAGTAGGTGATAACGAGGGTTTGGGGCCTAACCCCAGTTTGCCCAGTATCCAGGGTTATGAACAAAGCAGACGTTCGTGAAAGGTTTCCACCAAGGGAATTGCAATGACCTCTCGGATCGAACATCGAGAGCATGACCTTGGGCATCAACCCGGCAGTTCGTAGAGGTCAAATCTGAGACATGTGCGGCCTTTAAATCGCGAACGGCACCCCAAATTAACAAACTTCCCTTGTTGATTTTGATAGGGGAGTGTCTCCTTTTAGAGGGGATGTATGAAAATGTTTGGCAAGGACCCCTTTGGCCACCTTTTCGGCCGAAAGCTCCACTGCCTCCTTCCAAATCTCCAAGTTTGTTCAGGGCATTTGTAAGATCAATGGAGCTGGTCCCCTAAGACAAAGTTTCCAGAGTTGGGGTCGTTCAAACCGGGACCGCTTTTAAAAATTGCTCGATCGCTGCGGCTTCTTCATTGGGTCCCGAAGTGGGGTCTTCATTGAGTCAAACGGGGTCATGATCTTTAGGCTTGAGGTTGCTCTTACTCTCCTTGAGTTCATGGACTTTTAGCTTTTTGGATGGACCATTCAAGTAGTAAAGAGTTCAGACGTTTGGTTGGCAAGTCCACTCAGGAAATGAGTACTTGTTCCAGGCCCCCCATTTAACACCCACAAAACCCAGGTATTGAGAGTCGGGAGTTGAGACGGGGCGAGGTGATGTGCTCCATGGCCCCGCAAGACATGGAGTACGACACCTGGGTCTACTGCGGCCAGTTCACCGACGGCTTGAGGCGAAGGGCTTGCTGCCAGATGACCACAAGCCCTGTCTAGAAGAAAAGGAGGTATTTGCCTAGGGCCCCTAGTAGTGCCCTTTTACCCTTTTTGGGGGAGGGTTGCCCTACTAAAACAGACTACACAAAAAAGGGTACCCTTATTCTAACCTCTCTACTGGAGGACCTGAGACAGTTTCCGTGGAAGCTGGAAGCTGGGAGCAAGCAAATGCACCAATGACCCCCACAATGGTTCAGGACCCCAATGCAGTCGGGACCTGGACGTGTGCGCAGCCACTATCTTTGGGCCGTCCCAATTTTCACGCATACCTGGATGCTCAACCAACTTAGCTGGAGACCCTGGAACTTATGTCGTTTCACCAAGTGCCCAGTTGGATCCTCGAAAAGTCGACCGTCTCCAGGAACGGCGTGGGCCGTTGTGAGTGGCCGGCGGTGGGTTCTTGGTACGAAGGCGTCGGGCCGCCAAGTCTCCGAGTCTCCGAGTCTTCGAGTCGAGTCGAGTCTCCGAGCCTCCAACCACATCGGCCGTTTGAAACGGGGCTGGGCTGGAAATAATGGAGATCGTTGCTTTTGTTGTTGTTGCTTTCCTGTTTATATCACCAAGTTGGTTCACTCCCCCAACAACTGCATTTAAAGGTGACACTTGGGTTTTATTGCTCGTGAGCGGTCGGTTTTCCCTCTTGTCATCCAAAAAGGAGCCCTCAAACAGCTCAAGACCACGGGCAGTCGTAAGCCTTTGGGCAATGGCCCAAACTACTTGCATTCCCTCAAGAACATGCCACATCTTGCAAGTCCCCTGGTGCTTCTTGGGGGATCTAGAGCCAGTCCCCCATGTCCCTTCCCAGTGGACGGTAGACTGATCGAATTTTCACCGAACCTCGTTTGAGCCCACCCAAAGTCCGTATTTGCTTCTGGTTCTACCATGTTTTCACCAAAACCAGACAGCAATACTGGAAGTTCTCACAAAGTCAGGTGCGTCCTGCTTGCGCCATGGTCCAAAGATCGACTTGCAGTTTCTGTGGATGGCTATGAACCCTTTCGGTGAGAGTTTAGACAGCCATCTCCCCAAATACCAATTGTTTTAGGTTATGATCAAGCCTTTGACTCAAAAAGCAGCTGCTTTCTATGGCACAAGCGGTTGTTTGTTTCACAACTCAACCTCAAATAAAAGCATTTGAAATAAAGAGTAGTTCGCAACTTGGGAGGAGGCGAATTTCTGGGCAAATGACCTTCGGGAGCTCACACCATTTCACTGGTGAAGGTCCGTTAAGATATATGCACAACGATGGAGGTGGCTACCAGTGTCTAAGTGCTATGTAAATTCCGACCAAAAGCAGGCGGCAAACCCCTGAGCCCTCCCATGGAGAACTCTGACCTCTTAAGGGCCCTCAACAACAACAATCTTTTGGGACTTCAAAACAGTCGCCACCCTTAGGCCAAGTACCCAAAAGGGGGGGGCTTTGTTTCACATGGTGCCTTGAATTACAAAATGCGGAGGTTGGGAGCAAGCAGAACACCTGGGTTGACTAAAAAGGGGGTGTCCTCTTATTTCAGTTGCGGTTCTTCTTCTTGGTGGTTCCCAGCCATCCCCTTAGCTTCTGTGCCTTTTTTTTAAGGGTTTAGTGGAGTTATTTCCATTGAACCCACAAGATAAACACTTTCAGCGGATCTGAGGGCAGCCCACTCTGAGGATTGGCTCATGGACGGTGAGCACGGCCTGGGGGAGCTGGGCGCCGGTGCTACCGAGAGCCCCGGCCTCGGCCGTTGCGGCGCTTGGGAGAGGTCAGCGAAACGCGACATGGCTTGTCCGTTCGGTCCCCAAATCACCGTGGGTAACTTCTGCATGGTGAGAAGGTGTTGTTTTTGTTATTTGTTCTTTTCTATCTTCTCATTTTTTTTCCGAATGGTCATCCCAAGTAAACTGTAAAGGAGCTTCTGATCAGCCTCTACAGGGTGAGAGACTCAGAATGCTGGACCTCAAACCAGGTTTGATGTTTCTGTTGGTGGGGAAGAACACTTCTCTTGAAGGGAACCACTAGTTTGAGAAACTCTTGAGAAACACTCAGGCGTGTGCCTGGGATTCTGCCCTTTACTGCTCCTGTGGCCAAAAGGGTCTGGTGAAATCTTTGTCGCTGTCTAACACGACATTCCAGCCCAACAAAATTTTACCACCGGCTGCTTCGTGAACAGCACTTGAGGTTTTGGACATGGTGGAAGAAGCAGTCGTAGAATGCTGGAGATTCTATTTTGACCCTAGCTCGGATTTGGGACGTTGCCAACTGGATCACTTCTGCGAAGCCCAAAGATTCTGTAATAGCCTTTTCCCTTGTTTGGCTACACCTCCTCAAGCCCTGAAAAGGGTTTCTGTCTGCTCCCAAACCACTTGGTTTATTTGTTGGTTTCCTTTCTTTTGGAAACCATCCAAAACGGGGATACACTGGATGCTATGCTACATTGTAACACCCCCACTCCAGACATGCTTTTTGGGGGAGAGAGAAAATCTCAACCGACTGAAATTATTTCAACATATACCCGGTATTGGGAGCCAGGCAGCCCATTTACTTGACCACTTGAAACCAAAATGGGACATTGTGACACCCAGAGCATGAGCAAGGAACGGCCTTCATTGGAAGGTGGGCACCTTTCGAAACAAGTTTGCCTTTTGACCTGTCAAACTGGTGCTTTGCCTTTCAACCCCAGAAGAATCCTTCCCACTATAGCACCTGTGGGAGGGTACCTGACCCTTAGGGCAACCATTCCCGTTTGACATCCGGTCCATCCGGTCGAGGCCAAGACGGGGACCCACAGATTTGGAGCATGTACAATGGCGAGAAGCAGGCCGGATGTTTTCTCCATTTGCTTATTGGGGTTTGGGAGCGCATCGCTGTGACAAATGGGTCTGTCCTTCTTTCTGAGGGTACTGTTTTTGTTTGTGGGTTGTAAAGGGAAACCGAAACCGAGAGGAGAACTGAAGCCATTTTGGCATTTTCCCACGCAAAAAGACGCACTCAATTCGACTTTCAGCTTGTGAAGGGAACCGGGGCCCCCTAACTAAGTGCTAAAGTCCTGGACTCACCTTGGTAGTGCGATCTTTTGCCCCTTGACTGCATCGTGTCCACTTCCGTAATCAGGAGCATCCCACAAAAGCGATCAGGTCACAAAGGACTTCCTTTGCCTCTTGTGGGCCCTTCAATGAAGAACCTCGACTATTCCTTAAGGGCCCTTAAGACCTACATCTTTTGAGCGAACTTCGGGTGTTTTTGTTTGTTAAATGGCCAGTTCACAAAGTCCCCAAAGACTTTGCTCCGAATCTCCCTCATGGCCAGAGAGTAGCAAGTTAATTGGCCGGAAGGCAGACCGACGGTTCAGGGCCCTCAAAAAGTGCAGCCCAAATCCCAAAAGTTGCGTGCCTATTTTGGGGCCCAAAATCCAATCGTGATAGGCGGATGTTGTTGCTTACCTCCCGGTTGTGACTGCTTTGCTTGGTCACCCCAACTGGGCAAACACGTCTCGCATTCTATGGGCCCAGACCCTCTAGTGGCCATGGGAAGAAACGGCACCCTCTTCGTGTTGGTTGATTTCAAGGAAACCCCCTCACGAATGAGGAACCATTCTGGGTAGAAATGGCATGTCAGGCACGGTCATGCTCCGTCTTTCAATTCTGAAACAGACTTCAGGGAGGTGAAGTTTGACGGAATGTCGACTCCGGCGCAATCGGGGAATTTGCGCAGTCGGGGTGTGTTGGCAGCCTGGGTGGGCCCTTAGGATCCTCAAGCACCACAACAAGTCGAGGGGTTTACCTCTAAAAGGGAACACCCCACTCAGTTGGGGGGGCCTCAGATTTGAGGAGATCCTATCCAAAGGGTACAGCAGCTTCCAGCTTTGCGTCGAGCAGAGGGAGGGGCCCACGCTCCCTTTAAGGGTATGTCTTGATTCGACCAGCAAGCAATGTGGGCCAGAGTGAAAAGATGTTGGTGGGCAACAGTTGAGGTACCCTACCAACTCCAGCAGCCCCCAACAACTCCTTTTTGCCACGTCCAAAATCCCAAGCACTGTCCAGAAAGTTGTTGGAGGGTGCTGGGTGCCGACTTTTTTCGGACCTTCAACCAGGATGTGCTTTTCAGAGCACCTGACGGGTCAGGGTTCTCAGTTGGCAGGCCCGTGGTTGTGCGATGGAGGGGTATAGGGTGGACCTGTCCCCACTCCAAATAGGAGGTAAGCGTCTTATGAAACACCTGGTTCTTCAAAAGTACACCCTTCCTAGTACCTAGCAAACTTTGGAATCTCACTAAGGTCAAGGCCTAAAAGCTTTCGATCGAAACCTCCTCCAACGGCTAGTCCCATGATGCTTCAGGACGTACAATAGATGTATATATATATATATATATCCAGGATAATTAACCCCCAGGGGTACCATTGGATATCCAGGATAAACCTAGGGAAACAACACATTTCGGGGTCCCCAATCTAGAGACACGGCCTAAAAGAGGGCTGGCTTGATGAAATGGGGGTGGGTGGGTCCACTCCAGGAGAATGTGGCGCAGAGCCGGGTGGTACCTGGCCTGGACGATGAGCTCATGGTGGTTGTCTTGCAGGAGCTCCGACTCGACTCGGCGTCTGTCAAAAAAACATGTTTTGCTCCCTGAATTGGATAAGGTGGAGCGGGATTGGAAGTTCGCACCGGCAGAAAGGGGCAACGAAACACCAAGCGCTGCCACAACTGCTGGTTTGGCTTTGCCTGCATCTTGGGCCCTCAAAACTGCCGGCAGTTTTGACCTTCCAACAGAGGTCCTGGTGCCTGACTATGTGGGGGTGTCCATTGCTGAGGTGGTTGTTTTTTTCACTCCCCAAGGGTCCCAACCGTCATTGGAGTTTTTGAGAAGAGGTTGTTTCTTTTCGGCGCTTGAGGAATTGGGGATCCGTTGCTGGATTTTGCATCGGGGACCCTTAGTGGAGGTCACCCTTACTTGGTGGTTTGGATTGATGGTTTGGGCTGTTGTAGAGAGAAAAAACTGTGAAACCACTTCCTACCCACCAAACCACTATTCCAAACCGCCAACTACTAAACCCAGTTTCCCCAATCCCAAGCATTGGACCACAAACCAATCCCTTACCCTATGCTGACTTCGGGCTGGGCTGGAAGCTCGCCGGTCAGGCTGCCAAAGACTTGAAGCTTTCGGAGCTGGACGACACGGAGCTGCTGCTGCCGAGATATGGCGGGAGCCTCGCTCCGGAAGCTCCGGATCCGCGGCCCCACGTTCGACGTGTTTTGGTCCAGCGTAACTTCATGTCGACCCCAATGCAAGGCGCTATGGGAGAGGGGGGGAAAGCCTTGGATAAGCCTAGAAGCCGCAAGGGCTTGAGGAGTTAATCATGTCGACCCTGAATCTTGACCAGTTTTTCAGGGGCGCTTAAAAACAAGTGAATTTGGACCCATGTCGAAGGCTTGGCGAAGGTGCAGACGTGGCAAAGGGATTAGGGAGGTTGTTGGGAGCCCCTTTGAAGCAGCCGTGGCTGGCAATCGCGGGGGGGGGGGGGTGGGGGGTTGTGCGGAAGAGGTCAGGCTTTATTGCCGGGGGCTTGATTTATCAGTGGTCAACATTATGTTTTGAACAAGCCGGTTTTCTTCGGTAAATACCTCCTTTTTGTCAAGGGTGAGGCCACAATTTCCTTGAGCAAAGACTTCAGAAGCCCAGTTGTTAAGTTGTGAAACCCCCACCGCACCCTCTGGAACCCTCCCGGAACCGTAGCTCCGAACCACTCCAGAGCCCTATCTGGGCCTATCGACCCCAAAGCTTGCTGATGTTAGGGCAAACACCCGTGTTTGGAGTACCCAGTTGTTGAAAGTTATGATGTCCCCACTAAGCGTCGTAAAATATCGTAAACCCCTAACCAGGGTGTCCTGTTCCTACCTTTCGAATCACTGAACCACTGGGAAGTGATCGAGGGATCCGATGACTTGAGGCATGGCCGTCGGCAATCCTCACGTGTGGATCCCGCGTCATGAGCATGCCGGAACCTCAGAGGACTTCCTGTTGAACAGCACTCTACCCTCTGCTCCAAATACTGCAGCCTTTTCTGAGTATGATGTCAAATGATGTCAGCAGCTGGTCAAACAAGGAGGTAGTTGAGATGCATCATGGAACCCAAGGCTCTTCAAAGTATACTATACCCAAGAACAAACGGGTATTTGGTGTAGGGGGTAGGCTTTGGGCATTGGCCGAGGCAGCCAGAGGGTGCTGGCATATTTCCCTTTTGATCATGTGGTGTTGAACGCTGTTGGGATCATTTGAGGTGCATTTCCCTTCAGGTGATGTTTAAGGGGAGGTATGAGTAACCGGTTTTGGCCTGGTGTCCTCACCCCCGCAAATGAGCCCTGCGACCCAGAATTGTCAAAGAATTCCTCCCTTTGCTTTCATCTTTTGCATCAAATGTCTTCGCATTCCGTACTCAGGGCTTTGACAACGATTCATTCCAGATTCCAGCCGGGCTTTGCCTGAGGCAATTCTGCATCCCGAAGTAAATGAAGTGAGGTCCCAACAAACCAGCTGCTTTTAGTGCATGTGTCAGGACAATTCTGAGGTCCAACACCACAGCCCCTCCAAATCCTGACCCTCTTCGAGGGAGGGTGCCATGCTCGGAGGGGCGGGTTCAATCACACTGTCCTTGGGGGTTGGATTGGGTGTTCCGAGGCTTTTTTGGTGACCTGGATCGAAGAGGACGCAGACACGGACGTAGTTTGTGCCCTTCTCAGAGGATCCAGTAGCCCAGTTGGATATTTTTAGGAAAGGGACCTGGGCTTAGGATTTGACCCATGCAGTGTTCCAGATGCTTGGACATGACAGCCAAATCTAGCTAACGATTGCTGCTTTCCTGCTCAGTGGATTCTTGGGTGTGGTTTCATTTCGAGTATGCGCAAGATCAGTAGCACATTGGGTTCCGTGAAGGTGCCCAATCACAAGGAGGATCAGGTTGTGGTGTGGCATTCTGAACATACGTATTGCATGAAAGCCCTGTGTTTGTTGAGGTCCATTTCTTCTTTATATGTTTTTTCCAGCTGGTAGTGTTCATTGGTTGTTTTTGTGTTCCATGCCTTATCGTGTTTGGTGTTCCATGCTTCTATGCAGATTGTCCGCCGGCGATTTGGTGGTCATATGTCTGTTTCCAGGTGGTGCATATTTTTTTGGTAGTCGCTAGCTTGGTTTGTGGTGGTAGTGTCAGCTTATGTGTTTGCGTTCAACGCGTCAGAAAGTTATGTCCTCAATGTCAGCTCCATCAGAAGGCTTCAATCCATGGAGATGCCCAGGCCGGTCGACTCACTGTGCCGACGGCAGGTTCTCTCCCAAAAGCAAGACAGCCGAGACAGCCGAGACAGCGAGCGCCAGGAGGGCCCCCTGGATGCGTGGAACCGGGCTCAGCTTCGGCAAGCTGGGCCAGGCGGGAAGTGGTCAGAAACTGCTCCGATTCCGATGGGTTTTTGGTCCAATGGGATGGAAGTCGGGGAGAGCCCCACCCCCATGTCCCGGAGTGGGGTCTTCCTTGGGTGACCCTGATGGCTTTGATTCAAGAGCCTGATTTTAGATAAAGCCCGGGATGGCCCCCGGATGAACCGACCGGGTTCAATCCCCCAAGCAAGGACTGCGACTGCCTCCAAAAGGGCACACTCCCCGGTGAAAAATCAACTAGGGATGGTGAGCAATGGTTATTTCCGTGAATTGTCCCGCAAAGGAGACCACAAGAGGGCGAACATAGATTTATTTTTTCCACACCCGTATTTTGCCAAGATAGGTGCCCCTTTTGAAGAAACTCCCCAAAGACTTACCTTAAGAGGATGAATATTGATGTATTTTGTCCATATCAGTATTTAGTCACCAGGATATGCATGGATATGCAGTATACCACACTCATAGAGACTAAAACCGTCGAAACCGCTCCAAAATGACTCGATCGCTGGTAGGCGCGAAGGTGGTGCTGCCGAATTGCACGGTGTGGAGCGTGAACGGCATTCGCCGGAGCCCCAGGACTTGAACTGCAGGTTCTAATCAACCACCGGACTTGGTTTCGGTCCACATTTTTAATAAGAGACAAACAGGGCTATGAATGTTCAGAGTTGGAAGACCCTGAAAAGTGGTTGGACTCGAATCCCCACCAACACTACCCGTCCGCAACGTGCAACCACATAAAATTCATGCCCAAGTGGAGCCCAAGTCGCAACGGACTGGGTCAGGTTGCTGTGGTCCTTGGATCCAGGCCGAAGTTATGCCACCCGGAGCCAACTCGGATAGGGATCCGGGTGTTTTACGTTTGTTTTTTGTCGAAAACCTCAAGGGCTTCCAATTAGGGGGTGTCTGTTTTGGGGACCGCCGGTCTCATTGGCAGACTCCACTGCCTTTTTAACTTCTTGCCCTTTCGGTTTTCCGTCATGTTTCCTGTCAGCTGGCTGGAGAAACAATAACTTCTTCTTTCTTTCTTTCTTTCTTTCTTTTTTTTTGGGGGGGGTATTTTGAGAAACAGATACGTATCTATGGACCTTGTTGGGTGTGTCTTTTTTGAGGATACCTTTTTTGTGGTTTTACAGGGAAAACACAAGGATAACCACTTTTGTGTTGTTTTTCTTGGGGGGCCCTTGTTTTGATTTGCTTTTGGCAGGTGGCAACATCAGCAAGATGACGGAAGAGCTCGGCGCTCGGTGTTTGGCAAAGTTTGGTTCGATGCGATCCCAAATTTGACACCGAGGAGCTGAAGGCTAGGATGTCAACTTGGGCTAGAACCATTGAAATTAGGGTGACGGCAAGTGGCGGTAAGTGGGCTTTGGTCCCCTTGGTTGCCACCAAGTGATTTGAACACCCTGGAAAGGTTACCATTTAGACTAGTTTACGCTAAAAAGGATGACGGGAAATGAGGTTGTTCACCCCAAGTTCCCATTGGCAGGATTTTTTTTGCGTAGGTGGAAAAATCTCCCGGCAGTGCCCTTGAGTCAATTAATCCAGGGTCAACAGTACCCGGACAGCAGTAACGCTAAATATTGCAACCCGGCCAACAACAGACACCCTCAGCTGCAGCTGTTTTTCTTGGGTTTGTACTGGGTGTGGATCATTTTCTCACCGGCAGCTAAAACGTGATAACGTCATTGTTTGTTATGGATGGGACTCAACCGCTTAGCACCCTTCCACAGCTGCTGTACCAACCATGCGCAGAATCCGAAGCGTCCGAACAGCAGTGTGGGCCGGGGCTGGTGTGTATCCCAGAAATGTCATATAATTAATTACTGAGTCAGAGCCTCGTGGAGCCATTGTAGCCGAATCGTGACTGTGAATGACTATTGCTCTAAGGTGACCCCCCCATGCAGACCAATTCCTCCGGGGCCATCAAAACAAGCCATTTTGAGGACCCGAAAGCAATTGAGACTTAGGGCAGGCGCTGGCTGAGTGCCCCAGTGCAACGCCCTGTCAAGGCACAGCATTTGACCTTGGGCGTAGGGACCCGTATCTCCACCTGCTTCAATGACTGCAAATTGAATGATTACACTATTTTTGCGTGGTGGAAGATGTCACCCTGACTCTCAAAGGATGCGTTTCTTCATGGACACCATGTATTTATCCGCAAAATCGTCCTGGCAGAAAGTAGTCTTGCTGAGTGTGACTTTGAGTTGCACAGAGTTTGTCCGAGCAGCTGTTTGAACATGCAAGGTAGACACGGTCATCTCACTTGCCTAAAGCGGATGCACGTTACCTGTAGGTTTCTCCAATGCAGTCCAGTATCGAGGTGCCAAACGCTGTGTCTGAGTCATGTGCGGGTCCTGTTTAGATTTTCCTTCCAAGGGCTGGTTTGGTTCCAACCGCTTCTGGCGGATCGATGGTCTGAGGCTTTTGTCGCCGACACAGCCTGAGCCCCAGAGATGGTGAACAATGATATGACCTAGGCTTATAGGGACTAAGCCCAGTTACCCCAGCTATCAACCAACAAAAGGATGCCTTTTTTCCCAATGGAGATCTGGATTCACGTTTCGCAGGCGTTGCGGCAGAGACCTAAGCGTGCACATCCAAATGAGAACCGTGCTTGCGCAAGGGTTCCCTGGACACAATTCCCTGCTTTGAGGGCATGCTCCTTTATCCGTGGGCAAGGGTGAAGCTCACGAATTCCCTCACCACGGAAAATGTTTAGTGTTTTTTTTTTGTTGGGGGGGGGAGGAGTGGGGTTGGCCCCAAAAAGTGATCCAGATCGTTAACATGGGGCGCCCCACTATTCACCAGGGGTTGATTCATCCCGGGTTCCCATTGGGGTCTCCAAAACAATTTTTTGTTGGGTCTAACTATGAAGCATAATCTGAACATCTCAAGCGGCATGTGAGGACCTCGCTCACGCTAGAAGTGTGGTGCCCGCCGCGCGCTCGGGTGGACCTTTCCTGGACCCACCGGGTTTCCACCTTTTTGGCGGAAAGCGATCAAAATGTTAAACTACCAAGACAAAGGGTGTCCTGTGTTTTTCACTGCCTGGGCAGAGGTGCTTCATTGTTGTTTTTTTTTGCAAAATGGGTGAGAAGGTTTGACCTTTATGGGCTTTACTCGTTCTTGGTGGAGGCTGCCAAATGCAGTTTGGATTCTCATCACACTGACATGTTGCTTCTTGGACGACCTCGTGGGATAGGGTTGCCGCAAAGCGACTGTCGTCCAAGGGCAGCATCCTCAGCCCTTGGTCGGGAGATCCCTTTTCAAGTCCATGAAGGGAGGCTCTTTAAAATATATCCTTCACTGTCCATTCATTCCCTCGGTTTACAATTTCCACGAGCAGCTCTTTAGTCTTTTGTGGGGCCTCCCTTGAAGAGTTCTTTAAAGGGTCAGGGTCCTGAATGCTTGGCTTCCATTTACTGAAATGAGCATCCTTGGCTTTCCCCTGGTTTTGAAGGGAATGTATCACCACTGCCCTAAGGGTCCGATCGACTGTTTCGGGGGGTGGTCCTCAAAATGTGTTGTCTTTCAGGGACCTTGAGGAATTGGTCGCTATGGGCTCTCCACTGGAGGGCCACTTATTATGGAGGGTTCTGCATTGGAGGGGTTCGGGGTCACCGGACAGAATTTTCCTCATTTCCAGGGGGAACCAGGCCCTACCTGGTTCTGGGTCTCGGCACCCTTTTTGGGGGTTGGTTCCCACTATGTTGAAACACACTCATTTGGCCCCACGTTGTTTTCCCGTTTGCGTAACTCTGAAAAGGGGGGTTCAAGCAATACAGACACACTCAAATGGAAGCCTTGCGGGGGTTGTTTTTTTCCTGCAGTGTGCGGTGGAAAGGAAGGCTTATGGAAGCTGGTTCGGATGGGTACGGGTTTGACCGATGGTGTGGATCCACTCGTGATAAGATTGCTAGTTCTCCAAATGCGACTGGGGCAGCTTCAAGAAATCAAAGCAAATGGCAAAGCAGCACCCAGTCAGTGAACGCATTGCCACTTTCGTCTTTGTGGCTTTTCCTTTAGTGGTGTTTCGCGTACACTTTTTTGGCTGGTCACTGTCCAAGAGAGAATTCCAATGGCCCCCCGACTGTTCTGCTCCCCACCAACTCCAAGTGCAGTCCCAAGTTTGTTGTGGCTGGAAAAGCATCCACAGTGCTGGAGAAATCAGCGTTGACCCCACGAATGGGGTCTCATCGGCCTTGGGGAGGGCAACATCCATCCGGACCCCCGCGCCCTCCAAAACCCGTGCTGTCCCAAACACAGTCGGTGAGGGTAGGAGAAAGGCTTCACGATGAAGTGCATTTTGTTCACTTTTCAGGAGTGGTTGGTGGTGGTGGATTGGTAGAGAGGTGGTGGTGGTAGTGGAAGTGGTACGTAGTATCCATGAACCTACTACGCTGGTGGAAGATCCAAGTAGCACTCTTCAAGGACCGCTTCTGGGTAGGTGCCAAGGCAGGTGTTCAAGGCGGAAACCACCCAACTGTAAATTGTTCTAGACAACACTCAAGACATAAATCCAAGTTGTTCATCGCCAAAACGTGAAAGGGCAGATATCCCAACCTGTTTTTGGCTGGGACTGTCTCTTGCAACCCTTGATCTAGCTGGGCTTTTATTGTGGCTCAAGTGTCGCAGGAGGTACCAATCAACCCGCTGGGCACAGTAAACTCGGCACCCAGGGCGCACCAGCGCTTGGATTCCATGCGCGACGACCTGGCCAAGCGCGCGGGCTGGCCTGGGCCCCAAGGGGCCCAAAGGGGCCTCGGTTTCGGTTTCGGATGTCCTATGTCCTATGTAGAGAAGCTCAGAGGCAGAATTGTGGGATCACTCGGGGTTTATCCAACCACTTCTGTGATACTTTTGGGATTCTCCCCCCTTTACATTGTTGTTGTATCACAGAAGTGGTTGTTTCTCACAGCCCCGCTCAGAGGAGAAGCCCAGAGCTGTGTGAACTGAGGCTTTAATGTGTTTCGTTTGATGCTCTAAACATCAAGCGGGTCCTCGAGAAGCCCAACCGCTTTATTCATTTTGGCAAAAAGCAATGCACCAGCCATTGACAGTTTGGGGGGCTCATTGGGATTATATATATAGAGCAAATGATAACGGCGTCACCCGTGAATGTTGAGTGAGATGCGGAATGGCTGTGTGTGGAACGACCGGGCAAGGTATGCCGAGCCATCGTGAAAACACCTGGTGCCGGGGCACACGCAAAGCCCGGGTCATTTCGGTGCCGGCGGATGCCCCTGATCTGCGCGGGATCGGCTTCCGATATCACCACGGGCTCCACTGAAAGGAGGCTGGGACTGCGAAGGCGCTGTACTTGGAACTGGTGGACAGGGAGCTCATCCGCGGCAAGGAGCCGCACTTCCTGCACTTGTTCGCGACAGGTGGCTGCGTGGCTGCCACCCTGCCAGTGCAACAACGCAGAAGCGAATTGCAGCTGCCAACGCTAAGGCGCTGTTCCTGCACTTTTCTGCTTTGGGCACCTTGCAAGACAGGGGTAAGGTGGTTTTGCTTCAGAAAACACCCTCCCAGGCCTGACATGGACTCTTGCGGTCAGCAATATGTTTGGGGAGGGGGGGGGGGGCTCCCAAAAGCTGGGTCTCTCAAAGAGAAGCATTTGGCCTCATCTAGCTTCGAGGGGGTGCCTTTTGAAGGTTCCTGATCGACAGAAGAATCAAGCCATGTTTTTTGACTTCTGGTCTCTCATGTTTTGATTGGTTTAGACTTCTTGATTTGGCTTTAAAGGTTTGTTTCAGATTGCTTCTAGATTCCCAAAGGTTGCTAGAAGTGCTTTTAGAGCCTGGAGTTGGAATGCCTTTCGTGACTGTCACTGCCAAAATCCCCGTTTTTGTTCGGCCTTTGCCCACACTGGCGAATGCAATGCTATCCTTGATCCACTCTGTCAATGGCAATGGCCGGATCTTCCAAACCACTGGCCATGAACAAGTTTCAACCAGGTGAAAGGGTAATTTGAGTTGGTGAGCATTCAAGCAGTGTTATAAGGTCGTCCTGATTCAGGAGAATGCGCCATGGAGAATCTACACGCACAAGCATGACTCTTTTTGTTCCCATGGAAGTGCACTGCAGGGCTGGGTGAAGCCTGATTCGGGGCTTGCCCGTTCGATCTTGAGTTTCTGGCCATTTGGATTGGCAGCTTGTTGACCAAGTTGAGCAGGCGCATTTGTGCAGTCTGCAGCAGAATGCAACTGTCAGGGGTCCGCATATTTCCTGTTTCCGTGGTTGAAACACATTTTCGAAAGTGAGTTTCATTTGGGTGGGGTGATATCGGGCTGCCTGACAGTTGTAACTCTAATCTACATCAAAACTTCTCGTACAGGGTGTTTCCAAACAAAAGGGCCTCAAAACCTGGTAGGTTTCCTGTTGGCTTCCTTTTTGGCATCCACAAGAGGTTCCCGAAGTTCCTGTCGCCATTCCCAAGTCCTGCACCAGCGCCCCCAAAGACTGATAATTGGACAGCGCACGGCCTCAACATGGGAAAGAACAACCGTTTGAGGGCCCTCGATGCTAGGGGTTGGCTCCTCATTCTATTCAAGCATCGTTCGTGTTTATGGGGCGCGCCCGCCCAAATAGGATCTGTGGTTCGGAGCTTGGGAAACTGATGTCGCCTAAGCTGCTGGCTGGCAGGCAACAAGCTTGTTAGACTTTTTGAAGAATGATCCCCAGAACACCAGCCTCCCATGCCTTGTCCAATGTCCAAAAAGTGCTGTTGACAAGCAGTCGCTGGACTGGGAAGCTGCCCCCTACTCCAAATACCCGTGTTTTTGTCAGGGGATTCTGCGAACCAGGTTGTCCAACACATCCTTTAGTCAGGCTGACATCCTTTGACATGCCCTTAAACAAGTCGGTCTTGGGATTGCAAGCAGAAGACTTGCCTCAAATGTGGCTGCAAGGTTCCGCACTCCCGGCGACCAGATGAACTTTGTGGGCTTGAGGCCGGCCTGTGCCAATGTGGTATTTGTTGCTGTTTGTTCTGGTTTTTGTTAGTTAGTTTGTTATTTACTTTTTGTGTTTGTTGTTGGGGTGGGTGGGTGGCTGGGTGGGTAGAGGGTGATACTAGGTGGGTTGCTTGGTTGTTTGGGTGTTTGCTTGGTTGGTTGTTTGGTGGCTTGTCTTGCCAATAGGAACCTTGGGACGGTTTTCGGATGCCAAACGAAACCACCTGATTGGATAGGGGCAATTCCTCACTTGACCCCGAAGATTGGAGTTCCAACTTGCCTGACAGACGGGGCCCTGCTTGTGTTGGCCCCCGCTCAATTGGACCCATGCACCAAAAACAGACCATCAGGGTTCGGAATCACCTGCAAACGCACGCCTTCCGAAGACCCACTTCGAAGATCCAGTATTTTCCCGAACCTTTCATGTAGGCGTTTGGTTCCGCATCCCGGCCCTCCCTGATAGGACTTGCTTTAACCGTGAGTTTGCAGATTAGTCCAGGAACCCCGAGCGATGGACAGAGTTTCTCAACCACGCGCAGGTGGACTCAGAAGTCCAAGCATGCTCGAGAGCTTGAAACGGCGAGGCAGGAAGTGCGATGAATACTCACTTTTCTTTGGAATCTATTTTGAAAGACACCACTTTCAGCAATGGCAGATACTTGTTGTTGTTGGTTGACGGGGGGTTCATTCATCCAGAGCGGCACCCAAAACCTGTGGCCTTTCAGATGTAGGGGTTCTACTCCCAGTTGCCCAGTGCACCTTCTTCCGTCAACGGCTTCCCTCACGGCCTTCCGATTGCTTGTGAAGCGTGGGCCGGGACTCACAACCCGTGTGGTTTTAATAAGATAGTGCGGGTTCTCCAAATAGGGGATGTCAAAAACAGGGGGTGGCAGGGGAGTTTTCTTTAGGTCGCCCTTGAAGAATCAGCCCAACAATACGGGTGAGCCCCCAAAAAGGGAACCTTGGGATGCCGCAACTGGTGAGTTTGAGGGCAGGAGATGTGGCGAAGTCTCAGGGCCCTTCGGTCGCGAGGAAAACAGCCATGGCCGGGAAGCCTCTGAGCCTCACTCGGTGTCCATTTGGTGTGTGTGTGTGTGTGTGCATGTGTGTGTGAGGGGTTTCAGCCTTAGCTCACTTCCCGAGTTCCTGGACTTGAAATTTTCCGGAAGACCACTTAGTGAAGTGTTCAAACTAAGAACGGAAATTAGAGACTAAGAGCGGAAAGAGAGATACTAAGAGCAGAAAAGATGGTTCTAAGAGCGGAAAAGGACTCAGAGCGGACCAAAATTGATACTTGTAAATTTGAAGGCAAGGGGGTTGGCGTGTCAGCAGTTGAACCTGAATCGGAGCTGCAAAATCAAACCAACATGAGTTGCCAAACACCTGGAGGGCCGCCTTGTTTTGACATATATGTTGCATACGAAATCTATGTTGCCCAATGCCAGCACCCGCGAAGACTGCTGTTTGGAGAGCTTGCATGAGGGGTTTTGGACATGGGAAAGTGATGGGGCAGTTGCTGGTTCCTGTTTATCTGGTTGCAGGGGCCGCTTTATTATTATTTATTGCCCTTTTTGGCAGTTTTTAGACATTGCCTGTTTTTAACATTTAAGGTGAGTGTCCCTTGGTGTCTTGAGGGGAAACATATGGGTGTGTTTGTTCAGGGTACTTATTTCAGCATGGTTTGAGGACAAGAGGATGCTGTTTCTTGCCCTGTTTTCCTGGGTGGGTTTTGAAAGGGGCATCAAAGGATACCTACCAGTTTGTCGGTACCCATACGGGTTTGTCTCAAAAATTGGGAACCCTCAAAATGGGAACGGTGTCCCTTTATTCCCCTCTAAGGCCAATCCCCAAAAAAGATACCATTAAAAAGCACAACAAACAAATGGGTGGTTTCCCTCTTTAATTCGCCTTTAAACCGACCCCCAAAAAGAGTACCCCCAAAAACGGATCTTCATCATTTTGGTACCCCCTTGGGGTTTTGAGGCGCGTCCACCAAGAAGCAAACGGCAGGCCATGGATGAAGACAGCGCAGGGGCCCGAGTGACGGCGTCATGCGCCATCCCAGCGTCAGACCTCAGAGCTTGAAACGTTTTGGTGTGTGTTAAGGGCCATGAAAAGAGGCAGTTGAGGAGAGACATACTGGTTGCCCTTCATTGGTTGCATCAAAATGGTCTTTCAGCACCCTCCTGTGAGGCGAGGTGCCATGTTTGTGGAGGGTATTTCCAGCGATAGATTTTCTTTAGAACCCGGGGAAACAAAACTGACCGAGTTTCATTTCAGCAAACGGCAGCAATCTGTGCATCTGTAGAATGATCCTAATTTCCCTTTAGCTCCATGACCAGCTCTCACAGGTTGCAGGGGCTCAAACCCTGGCGATTCAAGCGTTGAGATGGTACATTTCACCTTAAGGACCTTACTCCGGTAAGGTGGTGTGTATGGAGCTCAGAGGTGTCAATTGGGGTTCAAACCCCACAATTGTCCTTGGCAACCTGGTGGGTCGCATGTTAGTGGACAAGGGGGTGCGTGTTACTTTCGCTCCGGACCGTAGAAAATTAATTTAAGGAACCTCCATGGACAACAACAGTTTTGAACATGGCAGGTGAAGTTTGTCTCTACTCCTAATAGACCCGACTGTTTGTGTCAACCTTAGAGTAAGGCCTCAAACCAATTGTGGTTCCCTTCAAAGCCAACCAACAGGGGATAGCTTCTAAGTCGACACACACAAATTTAGAATATATACCTTGGTCTTGGGACGAGAAGTATGGCACTTTCTGAGTTGTCGGGTGTAGAGGATTGGCCAACATATTATGTTGGGGTTTGGAAGGATCATGGGTTTTTTGGGCGGCATTGGACAACTTACTTCATGATAGGAGGATACTGTGTGTGTGAATGGTCAAATCCTTATTATTCAGCAAAAGAAACAAACCAGGGAGGCCTCATACTGAGCTATTTGGGTTCAGGTGGGCTCCAAAAGCAAATCGATTCTCAAGGGATCTGCATTGGAGGGGTCGTGACCCTTAGGAAACATAGATTTGGAGGCCTCAAAGGTGTGACGCACCTCCGCCTGACATCGAGCTGAACCCGACCCTCAAAGGGAAACTTCTGGGCTTACTCAAGACCCGGATTTTGAGTCATAGTTACGAACCTCAGGCCGAGGGTTAAGCTTATTTCCCCAAAAAAGAACGGGAGGTTCTTTCATCACTTTTTGGAACATCAACCGACAAACAAGGGGCCCCGTCGTCGGAAGCGAACGGGATCCGTTGTAGACTGTTGGTCTGGTTTCCGTTGCCCCGTTTCTCGCCAGGCTTAACGTGCCCAACGTGGAGGCGCACACCGAGACACGTTCAGGCGCCGCCAATTTGCGCGGATGGATGTGTGGGCTTTGTTTTAAGCTGAAACCCATTCGAATTCGACGGCATGTCGTGTTTTCTAACATGTGCTTTAAACAACCAACTTCCGAGCCCGTTTTTACAAAACCTTAAGGATGGATCTGGCGTTCACAACCCCTCAAGTGACCAGCGTCAGGGGTTAGAGGGAAACGTGTTCCCTTGAAGCCACATGCATGTGTTCTGACGCACAAGTCACATGTTCAACCAAAGTCGCCCCTTTGTCTGCTCTGTGAATCCTATGGGCCTCAAGGAATTTGTTTCGAAGTCTAACCCTGCGATCCCGAGTCCCCGAGTCCAATTCCTCAAGGGTCCGCTTCGATGGTGTTTGGTGTCCTCAAAGCTTGTTGGTGAGTCCGGGAGGTTTTCCCCAACTGATTTATGGATACACGCGGAATTCAAATTGGGGCCCTGCGCCACCCCAACGGCAGAATCAGGTCCATTTTGTGCGAGTTTAACTCAAAGTGACTGACTGACCCCCTTGTGGTATTTCCAGAGAAACGCAATTGGACCGTCCATTGAAGGGGTCCAACCAGAGTTCCAATGGGAGGTATTGGACTTCAGGACCTGTTTGATGCTTCAGGAATACTTTTTTTGTGTGAGTTCCTGCCTGTGACCTATGGTGTTAATCCTTTTCCTCCGCCAGGCTTAGAGAGGTCGCCTGCGAGGATGACGGATAGGCCGGAGAGATGTCCATCGGGTCACTTCATCACTCCCGAGTTCCTGTTTTAGTCTTGCCCTTAAGCATCATTGGACTTTTGTTGCAGGAGTACAGACCTCCATTGCAAGCTTTTATTGTTGGCAAGTGTTTCGGAGCTTCAGAATATGTCCAGACTTTGTTTCAAGCCGTTCAAGTTACGCAAGTCGAAGTTTGAAGGCAGTTTCAAGGTGTCTCAGAACACATCTCAGTCGTGGGTAGTGAACCAACCACTCATGAAGCCAAGGAGAGTAACCCTTAGGTTCCGATCCAAGCAAAAGCAGGCGTTTATTGTTTGTTTGTTTTTTCCTATTGGGGGTTGTTTTGTTCCATTAGAAGGCCTGAGAGAGATTCTTAGACGACTCAACTGGCCCAGTGACCAAGGCGACTCGCAAAGCCCACCTTCGGATGGAAAGTGCCTGAAGACGTGTGCCTTAAAATGTCTCTGTGGCTCCTGGACCCCGGATCGAACCGTTTTTCCTTCCCCCCCCCCCCGTCCCCCCCCCCGTGGCATTCCGCGCGCGGTGCCATGTCGGGTTCCAATCGGCTGTCGGGTGTGGGGGATTTGGTCCCCTCAAGCCTAAGGCCTGGGCTTCCGGCCTTGCTCCGGATGCCGGAGGCGAGCGGCGCGGATCCTTCGAGGAGTTTGGTCAATTTACCGAGTCTGTTTCTGCATCCCAACAAACATGGAAATGCGAATGAGTAGAATGGGACTGGGAAGGGAAGAAGCCGTTTTGGGGGGTTCTGTGCGTTTCCATTGAGTGTATATCTTGAACCAATGAGTCTGGGAACAAGCAGAAGCTGGTCGGAACCCTTGTTGGCTCACCCTATGCAATGCAGACATGTGTACTTTTTGGGAAGACAATTTTAGTGGTGAAGAAAAGGTTTGGACTTGGCTCATCTAGTCAGGAAGCGAGCTCATAAGGGGTTTCAAATGGAGAAAAACCAACAGAAACAGATGGTTTGGCGCCAGCTTGGCAACTGTTTTGGCACGCCACCCACGGATCGTGACCTACATGCATACCCCTCCAAATCCCTTCAAGAGGGGCCCTCCCGAATCGCGACCAATTCCCACAAGGGGCCTGAACAGAAACAGCCTCAGGCCCAAAAAACGTCGAATCCGAGCGCTGGCGGGGACCAAACAGTTCCCCAAGCATGGTCATTGACTGTCTTGGGATGCATCGCATAGGACATGGATGAATCCTTTTGTCCAATTGAAGGGTTTTCAGCAAATGCCAGTTACAGATGGGGGTTCCACCAGATCGTGTTATTTGAAAGGTACGCCATGTTGATTTGGGGTAGATGGTTGGGGTAGTGGAAACGATCTGCTTAGAATCCTTTGACCTTGAAGACTTTCTTATCCGGATTCACGGGGTAATAGCATATATAGCGCGCTATAGCCATGTTGGTAGAACCAAACGCCAGCTCGGGTTTTGGTCGCTCACATGGAATTGGGGGGGATGTCGGCCCCTAGAGTTCTCCAGCCAATCACTTCCCTTTTGTGGTTCCAAACAAGGGATTGGGAACCCATAATCACAAAAATGACGGGCGGAAAATCCAAGCCACTAGCGGCTGCTTTTCAGCACTGCGCGGTTTGTTATTGGGAGACAAGCTGAATATTATTCTTCCCCAACAGGGTCCATCAAAGTGATATCCCCAAATTTGTCGTTTGAATGGTGCTTTTAAGGAAACCAGCCCAAAAGTGTTTTCGTGCACCAATCCACGCAGGTCCCAGCACCCCCGACTCACCTGGCCTGGCCCTTGAGGGCATCGCGAGGGAAGTTGGGGCTGGGCAAGTTTGAGTTCACATCCTCCTTGGTGGCTTGACTGCTTGACCTCATAAAAAATGATGCTTCCCACTAGACCGGGTTCCCTTAAAGTGGAACAGCTTGAGGGGTTCTCAAGACAGACTTTGGGCATGATTTCCTGTAAACTACCATTTAGAGGATCATTTTAAGGATTTGACTTTTATGGACACACTAAATAGCAGGAATTCCACAGGCGGATGGCTAGATTTCAGGTGTCATCTCGGTTTGATTCGTGCAACTGCATTGGCAGGACCTTTGGAGAAGGCCTTTGTGTTGATTCTGAAAACTTGCTGGTGCAATAGGTGGGGAATGACCGAGACGAAAGCATAGAACATGTTTTGTCTCGGAGACATTCCTTTTCTCAGCCAAGACTCAACTCCCTTCCCAAGTTTCAAGCCTCAGCTAGAGAATTCAGCTCCGTGAGTTGGGCTGAAGCACAGGTTGCGACCTTGTTCCTTTGGACGAGACCCAGTTGAGGGATTGGGTTTCCCATGAGCTTGTGGGCGAGTCAAACAAATGACCGTTGCTCACATCAGCAACCCGCGAAAGAGCAAAACGAAAAACAAGCAGTGTGCCTGAGGGTATTTTGTCAGAACGAAAACAGGGGTCCGGGTCCCTCCAGTTCCGTCTTCGAAAGTGGCAGCTTTCGAAGCCACCTGAGTATTTGTCAAAGGGACCCTGGTTTTCCTCTTGCATTCCAGCAGCCAAAAGGCTGTCCCCTATTTTGCTCTACGGGAAATCCGGTGATCCCGATCAATGGTAAACTTTGGCCAAAAGGGCGCCGCAACATGGCAAAATATTTGTTACCATGAGGTGAGAGAGAATATACGGGATGTCCCACAAGCTTGGCACGAGACCAAATAGTGGAGAACAGCCAGTGCAAAACAAGCGGAATCCAAAGATGTTTCACTGAGCTCTTTGACACACATTGGCCACGGTCAAGGTGACCCCGTTTGGGGTTGACAGGATGGTCCACTCACCTGGCAGCAAGGATCCTTAATCATTATAACGATTCCTACACAGGGAGCCAGGACCACAGGCCATAGAAAGGAAACCCGCAGTTCGTTTGGGCCGGATTGTTGAATTTGAACATCCGGCAACTGGACAGCACGTCTTCCTCACAGTCGAGGACGTTCACACTCGCGGTGCAAGAACCACAAGCACCGTGTACTGATTCTGCTCTCGAAAGGCAGTCGCCATGGCGCAGCGATCACGTAACATGCTAAATGTGTGTGTGTGTGTTTAGTGGCCTGCCACAATGGCTGGTTTGATTTGGGCTTCCCTTTAATCCAAAAGACGGTACCCCAACAAGACAGACCCACATATATTTTGAAAAGGCATGATCAAACTGCGCAACAGATTTGGCCGGTGATTCCGAAAGAAAAATAAACAGTTGTTTTGGGCTTGAGATGCGATGTACCCGGGCTTGAGTTCTGAAGGAAATTACTTTGTGAATCCTGATGGTTTCCCAGATCTTCCAGTGTCCCAACTCAACAGAAACATACCCTGTCTAAGGGTTTAAGAACTACTCTTGGGCCCCTCTTTCTCCCCACCTCCCCAAATTCAACTTTCTACTCGGATGTTCAACAGACTTGGTAAGTAGTTATCATAAATTCAACTGGGGTTCGCCGACCGGTTATGACCTACGCGGCTAGCAAGTGATTCACATCGGTTTGTTTGATCCAAAGAGGCGGACATGAATCCCCGGGTCCAGCCGCAATTTCGATCCTCCGAGGTGGCCAGCGTCACCCTCAAGGCCTCCAAGGCCGAAGCCGCGCTGCCCTCCCCGACGTCCCTGTCGAAGGAAGCCCCCAGGCGCGCTCGAGCGCGGGAGTGCGGGATGCACGCAGATGGCGAGGGCGGTTTGGGAACGGCTTGGCCGAGGCTCCAAAAAACTCGGCACTTTTTGGCTGGGTATTTCCGGAGGAATATTTTGGGTCAGAGCAAATATGAAGCGCAATGCCCTCTGAGTACCCCGGACGTGAGTAAAGATTTCAAAGAAGGTGTGAGCTTGGGGCGTTTCCGCACCAAGGCGAACGACCAGCCAGCTAAACAAAACCAACACGTGAATTAGGTGAAGAACCAACAATGCCAAGTCGACTCCACTCCCTCCACGCGACGCCACTGAATCCACTCCACGCCACTCTGCTCCATTGCACTCCATGCCACGCTATGCCCCGCCCCGCCTGTCATCCCTTGCCAACAACAATGAGGTATTCACACTGGACATGCTCTTTGCAAATATACCCAAACAGGTACCCTAGCACCATGAGTCAACTGAACTCACTTCGCGTTTGCAAGAATCACCACACCCTTAAGGTCCGGTTTGACGGTTTTGGGGCCCTCAAAACTGGGACTGAGTCCATTGAAGGGCCCAATTCGAGGGGTCTGCCTAGGGGTCAGTCACACTTAGGGCACCTGCTTTTTGGCTTTCCGATACCCTGAGCAATATCTATCCGGATGCAGGTGAGCGGAGTATCCAAGCAGGCCAAAGTATCTACCTGGATCCGGACCATATGAATGCTGATATATGCTGATATTAAATTATTGAGGTGCCTTTCAGCCTTCTTGTCCCAACTTGCTTTTGGGAGACCCCAACAGGCACCAAAATCCATCCGGAGCTCCAGGTCAGCCTTTGGACGGCTTGCTGGGTTTGGATATGGGTATATATGGGTGCTTTTGTTCGTGTCACCTTGGATCTACCTGTTTGGTTGGACTCAACTTGTCATTCTTCGAGGCCCTTGGCACTGTGGAAGGTCCTAAGCTCTGAGAGAAATAAGGGACCTGCGTTTACACGTCCAAACCCATCTGAATCATTTAAGCCTTGTTTTGCCCAGCAGGGACCCTTCATTGAAGGAGGACAGGCCCTGCGTTGGAAGGCTTGCCTGAACATGGAGTCCTTTGCGGCAAAAACTGTTAGCTAATGTGGAAAAATCTATCTTATTCCACAAGGGATTTCAGGCGGGTGCCATGTTGGTGGACAGAAGTGTACATCCTTTGAGGAACCTGAAAGGCCAAAGCCACAATTCAGATCAGCCGTCGAATCTGTCGAATCCGTTGAACTCGTCCTGTTGAGACCTTGGACAAATCTATGGCCCAAAAGGGCCAGTTGCCTTTTGCCCTGAGGGTCTCGATGTTGTTGGGCTCTCAAAACATTGTTGTCACGCCCAATTTTAGGGGTCTGCATAGAGAAGACTTGGTGGTATGCCAAACTGGTGCCAACACACCCCACGCATCAAACGGGTCCTCCGGGTCCTAAAAAAGCCATCCATTTTGAGGCAAAACCAAAACCAATGGAGGTCCAGTCCTGATCCCCTGACTGATGGGGGTCCTGTGTGATGCCCCCTATGCCAGCACTTTAAAGGAGGGTCCTGTCTCATTCTTTGGGCAAGACTATTTGTTATTCTCCCCGTCAACGGCAGTCTAAATGGTTGCTGGGGCAAATCCTACATAGGTTACTGGAGCCTTTTTTCCAAAGGTACCCTATGGCTGCTGGGGAAATGCTTTCTTATAGGTTGCTGGGATTTGTTTTGAATCAATACTTCCAGTACCTTAAGGTAATGTCTCCTATGCGAACCACACTTCGGGGCCTCAACCTTTTCCGAGGACTCCTGTCAAAAATAGAGAGGAGAAGAACCATATTCTTGCCCAATGTTTTTTTCTTCTATTTTTGCCACAGCATGGCTGGCTTTTTGAGGACCCGAGAATCGTCGACTCGTCTCCCAACCGGACCTTCGACTCCAAGCGGAGGTCAAAGGTGGAGGCCCCGGTGCCGAAGCTCCGCTGGCCTCAAGCGCCCCCCGCGCCCTCCGAGGCCGGGCAGGCGGGGTCGGGTGGTCAGGTTGGCGGGTCCTGAGGGTCGCCCAGCTAGGTGCTCTTTTAACCGTTTCTTTTTTGGTTGGGAGGAGTTCTCTTGGTGTCCCTTTGTTCAAGGCCCCAGTTGCCCAGTGGATTCCGCCCTGTTTTGTTCAACTTTTTGTTTGGGAAGGGTTCCGATTCCTTTGAAGTCAACCAACCAAAAAAGGATGCCCTTTGTTTCCCATGGCCACTGGGCATCTGAGAAGCGAATCGACCATTGAACCTTGTGGACTAAAAAGTTGGCCTCAAAAGGTGAACCACCTTCTTTTTTATCGAGTCCTTTTGGGCAACCGAGCCCTCAAACGTCCACAAACACGAGGTACCGAGCCTCAAAAGACAGAAGAAGACTCAGACAACAGTGGGTTGGTTGTGAGCTCTACCTTTTTCCCTTGTGTGTGTTTTGGGGGGGGTCCGTTTAAAGTTGACCAAGCAAGAATGCCAATGCTTTTGTGCTTCCGTTGTCTGGGAGAAAGCAGTTTGCAGCCTATAGGCATGGCTTTATAAGGGGACAACCCCGAGTGAGCCCAGTAAAACCCACTGAGTAAGTAGGTTATAGAGGTGAAGTAACTTCAGCTGGGGCTGGTCCCCAAATAACACAATGGCTACAACATACTTACCGGGAGACGAGTGCTTCCTTTGAAACATGGAGCACAACCCATTCTCCCGAGACCTAGACGCCTTCAGGCATTGAGTGACAGGTGATACGCGGCTCCTGTTTTGCCTAAACGGAATCCACGCAGTAGGCACGAAATACCGCACCTGCAAAATGCGGCAACACCTGGGGAATGTTGTTCGTATCAACAGGACCGGCGGGCCAAGCAAAATGTTGCTTGCAAATCGGCCCGCTACGCCCCAAGATATTATGTTCAGAGCCGCGGGGGAAAGACTGTCTTCCTCCTCAACAAGGTATGAAACGCAGTAAGCACGAAATACCGCACCTGCAAAAGTCCGCAACACCAGGACAACGGTTGTTCGTCTTGGGCGTTCGGCACTTCTTCGACGGCTGCAGGGTTTGAGTTGTGATTTTTTGGGGGCCGATCCACTAAGGAAGGGCATCAACATAGGGGACCCTCCGAACAGTTATTTTCTGATTGGACTCCCTTTAAATTTAACCAAAAGGGCTGTCCTACTTTTAAGGCTCGGCTCTCTTTTCACATTGGTTTAAAGAACGCCAGCAGCCCCCAATGTCTCAAACGTCTCAAAAGGCCTTTTGGAAAAGACCATTGTATTTGTTGGCGCTATATTCTTCATGCCTGTGATCTTTGTGGCGAGCTGCGAGACTGTGCCCGCCCACTTGACGGTGGCTCTTGAATCACCAGTTGGAAGCCCAATGTTCACTTGCATGGAATTGAACATGACACCCCTGTCATGACCTTGCCCAGACTTGAAATGTGCCCAACAAAGTTGTACAGCTTACCTGGCTCCAGTTTTACTATGGATTAGGTCTTGGTCGCAACAATGAAGGATTCGAACACGCTACTATAGTGCAAAGCTCGAGCACAGCCTTCCCTTTTGGTGAGCTTGCCATGATCGGTTCTTGTTTTCGTCTGCAGGTATGTGGTAAATTCACAACAGGAGAGGTTCACCTGCCTGGTCAGCCTGCATGTGTTTGCTCGCCTTTTGTGAGTGGTGGAGCCAAAGTGTCCCTGGGGTGAACCAGACAGCCTCATTTCGGGGTGTGGGATTGATTCGTCCGGAGGCTCCACCAGCAGCTGCGCCCTTTGTAGAGGAGCCAGCTGGCGAGCGCTGGGTGTCATGGAAATGGCAATCAGGTTTTAAGCACGTGGGTGTGTGTGTGTGTGTAAAGCTTCACAGACCAGAAGCTGACCTACTTGTCAATACTGAGCGGATGCCGCTACTTGAACACGTTTCCTCGCATGCTGAACTCTGCCAAGCTAGAGTTGCTTGAAGGCAGCATGCTGACATGGATGCGTCAGACGCAGGCTGTTGCGTTCTCGAACGTCTACTGCTTCCACGCGGGCTGGTTGAGGTCTTCTTTGTGCTGCGAACTCCTGAGGGTGCTTTCGCGCCAGAGCAATCACAACCCGAATGTGTTTGTAGGTTTCTCAGTTGGAGACCCTTGGTAGGAAGCGCTTTACGTGCAACCTGCAAAACGCATGATAGGCTATATTGCCACCACTTGGTCCCCAATTTAAATTCATGGTTGGTTGAGGATACTCTTTCACCAGAGAACATGGAAGTGCACACACTCGTTTGCATCTGATTTTGTATTGCTGGAGCGTCCTTTTGTGATTGGACTTGATTTTCCATTGTGACATGGTGTTGCTGGAGCTTCCTTGAAACCTTGGATTTGAATTCCCTTTGATTTAGGACTGCCCTGAGGGTCATTCCAATCCGAGAACCCCGTTCCTCAAGGTTTCTCAACCACAACTCATGTTGAAGACCCCAAAAAGCGTCGCATCAGACCCTTAGTGGGCAACATGTTTGGAAGTTTCAACGACCCGTAAGGGTTTGTTTCTGTTTGAACCGTCGAATGAGGCGTTCTGGTAGGATCCCGTATGCCCTTGTTATGCCCTTTTTATGGTTTGAACTTCTGGGTCGCGATTTTGCCTTGATTCTTGTTCTTGGTGAGCGCCTTGTTGTTCCTCTGCAGCACGGTACTCGTATTTCTTATTGGCAACATTTGCAGCAGTTATTTGGTCTTTGGTGACAAGGGAACCAGAAGATACCATCATGTCATACTAGTTCCAAAAAACCCAGTTACCTCCCATGGGGTTGACTGGCATCGCCGGGTAAACCACAGAGTAACCGGCGACTTAGAAGACAGGACTGCCCCATCCCGCCAAGGAAGCTGAAATTGTTTCTCAATAAAACCAGACCGCAAGACCATCGGCTGGGATTTCTGGGTCCACATGCTCCAAGCATCCTCCATTAAAATGGGAAAGGGGCCTCCGTTGAAAAATCCTTGGCCTCAAAATTAGGTCCCATTTGATGCTTGGGGTAAGATGAACCTTCTCTGCAAGGAGCAGGATGAGCGATTGCGGCGGGTCGCCGAGGCAGCGCGGAAGCCTTCACACTCTTCGTGCCAGCACCTGGACCTGGGGCTATCACTCACTTCCTGAGTTCATGAACTTGAAGCTTTTGGGAAGACCATTTTAGTGGTAAATGTAAAGTTTGGACTTTTTTTGGGTCATCCACTCAGCCAGTGAGATCAACTGCACCCGCTGGCGAGGCCACTACGCCCCCGATGTCCCCGCACTGAGCTCGGAGCTGTTTTTTTCAGAACCCGCCGAGCCGAGCTGTGCTATGGCGCTAAGCTGCTTTCGGTGCTAAACCATTTACTAATAGTTTCCTCCAACCACCGATGTTGTCGTCTATCATATAAAAATGGGGGGAATCACGCGCGTGTCTTCTTCTCATACCGTTTCTGTTGGTTTGAAGGTAGACCAAAGGGCATGGGGAATCTGTTTTTTCTTTTTTTTTCTTCTCTTTTTTCACGATTGGTCCCGAGACCCGGCGGACCCGGGCCCCTTGAAGCGGTTAACGACCATTCCCTGAGGGTCCCGAAAGAAAACACCACCACCTGGCACCCGGTATGACCAGGTAGGCAGTTTTGAGGTCCAGAACTTCAAGTGCCCAGAGAACACCCTGCCAAGTTGCCACATCCCGAAAGGTCCGATTCGGTTATTCTTGCATCCTCAGATGTCCTCAGTAAAGACTGCCTTGAGGAATTGGTCGCATGGGCTCTTCATTGGAGGGTCTCTTGTCCCCTTATGGGGTCTGGATTGGATTGGTCTGGATTGTCCGCTAATGGGGCCTGAGGTCCTCTAAACCCCACTTCGGGGTCTCCAACGCAGAACCCACAACAGTCAATTCCTCAAGGGACCTCATAAACAGCTTTTGCTGCAATAGGCGAATCGCATCATTAGGGTTGCCATTCCAAATTGGAGCAGAATGGACATGCAAAAGGAACAGGCCCATATTCGAATCTGGCAGCCCAGTTTGCGCGGCTCGGTCGGAGTGTCTTCCCGCTCGGCAAAGCCTGGCTTAGGGAAAGGTAATGCACAAGACGGAGGCTATCACGGCGCGAGTCTTCTTTCGTTGGACAGTTAAAACCATTCCGCAGCATCGGACCCTCCATTGAAGGGGACATTGATGCTTTGGGTTCCAACCTGTCCGCCGTTTCCATCATGTCAGAACCCCAAGTGCAGAAAACAGTCGTTGGGCATTCTGGATGCTTCCTTTGTGATGTTCTCACAGGAACCAGGGTTATTTTTGTTTCAATTTCGGTTTTTGTTTCACTGGCATACTGCGGAAAGACCATTTCCTCAAAGTGACCTGGAGCCATACAGGGTGCAATTCAAACGGGCACTGTTTGCTTCCGGGCCGAGGAATTGGTCGCTATGCGTTCTTCATGGGAGGGCCAAATTCGAGGGTCTGCGTTGGAGGGGTCACGACTGGTCAGCACCCTTTTAGGATTTGTCCAGCTGTTATTTCACCATCGTTAACCTGACATAGGCTCTCGGTGCTTAGCGATGGCCTCTGTCCACGCGTTTCACGCTCGACAAACACTAGGAATGCAAGTAGCCCGCCACGAATTGAAGAGGCCGCCTTGTAAGGAGGATGTGTCTTCTTTGAGGATACCCATAGTACCCGTTTTGGAATGGCTTTAAAGAGGAAGCCAAAAGGACACCAACCTGTGTGGCTTCCCTTATCTCAAGACACACCCAAGAGTGTTTGCAACCTCTCAACTTGTCCGGCGTTTTCATTTACCATGTACGCTTTTTGTTCCGGCCAGCCAGCAAATCCCTTTAAAGATACGATGGTGACCATCCAAAGATTTTTTCAGATACGATGTGGATCCCAGGTCCGGGGTTCCCGCTCAATCCCGTCCTATCTCACCAGGCACCGGGGGAATCCAACAAGAATCCCCCTTAGATGGGTTGGTCTCAAAAGTTGGGATTCGCACCGCAGAAATGCATTTCGCTGTCCTTTTGGTGTCCCTTCAAAGGTATCCTCAAAGAAAGGTATCCTCAAAAAAGACAAATCCCGACTGTGATGCGGTCATCCATTTCGAATCCCACTCAACGGTATCGCAGACAGGGGCCAGCCATGTTCCACAACCATGCCAACAAACTGCTCAAACCCACCCTGAACCACCGTCAACCGGCCGGATGTATATAGATACATATATATATATATCCTTGCCCTAATGTGAATAAACCCTTAGCCAACCCTAAACAGACCATGAACAAATCCAAAACCCTGCCATGCTTCTTCTGAACCAACGCAAAACCTCAAACCAAGCCAAGCCTACACCGTCCGCAAACTCCTACTCCATTCGTAAAACCACAAGCCCGCACTGCACCTGAGACCCACTACTAGCCTTGACATCAGTGGAAAGGGTGGCTGAATCCAAGGCTGCTTTCTAAGGGCAAAGCTGCAAGCCATCTGCACTATAGACCGTTTGAAACAAAACGTTTTGACGCATGAAGCCTTTGCCCCAGGGTAACTCCTTTCGCAGCGACTTCTGTTGGTATGATTTCTCCGAGCCTCGAAAGCTTCAAGGGCAATGTGTCCATTCACTTCCCCGGATACAGATTTTCTTGGTGAGATTGTCTTGGCGGCAAGCAAGCCTGGACTGTATTGAAACCAGGCTAAAGCCAGGCCGCCGCTTCACAAGACCGAAGTGGCAGTTGTTTTTGTTTGCCCTTGAGGAATTGCGGGGTCTGCATTGGAGAGCCCCTTGTGCTAACTCCACTCAAATCTCACGGTATATGCACATCTGAATCCGATCCAGTTCTAAAGGAACTCCAAACCCACCCTGAACCACCTCTAAACCCAACCAGACCCATCTTACACCCACCCGAATCATGTGCAAACCACCCCTGAACACACAAGGTGTTTACCTGAAACAAGTACCCTACCCCCACCCTAAAAAAATATTCTGCGCCAACCGAGCCAATCCTAAGTGGACCCCCCTGGAAAGAAAATACCCCCCAATGGAGGGATCACCTCGACCCAGGATTGGCAAACCTATCAGATCAGCAGGGGCGCTTTTAAAAAAGTTACGACTTTCCGACCGGGGGCTTACTCATCCTTCCCACTAAACGAATCAAACAAAGCGTCCAAAATGCATTCTTGAAGTTAAATGTCAATAAGCCATTCCTTCTTTTTTTGCAAGGGGTTGACATCATAATCATACTCCAAAAGCGGCGGGTATATTTCGGAATATGTGTGAGTTTCTTGAGATGGTGAACCCCTTTTGGTTGTTTGTTTTTTGAGGCAAACCAAAAGGAAGCCGTTGCCATTTGGAGCATGGAATCCTTTTCATTTCCGTTCACAAAGCCGCCTGCCAGCCACGTGCTATATCACACGGCCGCCTCAAGCAAGCGTGGGGCGCGCGCAAGCGCGCGCCCTCCTTTGGGGGGGCACACGGTGCGCGTGCCATGCAGAGCGTCTTGGAAAGCAAGAGGAGTCATGCAGGTATGTCTGGGATCCTCGTTAAACATGACTCATATGTTGGGGTACCAGAGTATTCATGGGTTTTCTGACTACATATGGAACACGGTCAGACAACGATGCTTTTGGTGTGTGTAATCACTTCCCACTAGTACCAAAGAAACGGTCTTACTAGTTTTTTTTGTTTTTTTAATCAGAGGGAAGGGATTACTTGAGACGCTGGCAAAGATGTGCCAAATACAGGGAGCCCAAGAATGGTTGGTGTTCCTTTTGGTCTCCCTTTGCACCTACCTGAGAAGGGCTACCCTCATCAAAAACACACACACACACACACACACACCTCGGACAAGCAGCCCCTTGGCTCGGCAATGTGGATGGTCACGGGCCCTCAAGCGAAACAAACCTGGATGTGTGTGGTGAAACGCACACAGGTTCACTTAGCTGTTCTTGATGTCTACATCTTTCAACATCTCAGCTCAGCTCAAGGTCACATCTCGTTTTGGTCGCTGGTCGCGTGGAGTTCACGATCTTGCTCTACAACTTCTCGAATTGGCTGACGATTGAGTTGTGATCCTAGAGTTGGGAGGATACTGTCTGGAAGTTCCTAGGGTTTGGTCGTCCCTCGTTTGGCTTCGACCCCTTTGCGGGCGTCTCGCAGAAGCTCAAAGGGCTTAGAGAGACAGCTGTCCAGCTTGCTTTTTCTGCCCGTGCAAAAAGGGCTATGGTAATCATCCTTATCCTCATCATAACTTTATTTTGCCTGCTATCACGGCTATCACCATTTAGTATCATTATTTTGTTTTACCACTGATATCAGTACATCCTTGTCATCATCATCATCACAACAATCAAATCTGCCATCACTGTGACTTTCGCTACTATCATCTATTGTCGGAGCCAATACTTGCATTGTTACCAGTGCTATCATTTTGTTATTCTCCGAATTATGAAGACCACTAGCAGCTAATCATTAATTAGTTTGCACCTAAAACCGGTGATCACAATGGGCCAATCTTGCTGAAACATCTGGGCGCAAGCCGGTGAAGCTCCACAGGATCTCTTCACGATACACCGATCTCTTTTTTTGGTTTGTCTTAATATAGGGGACCCCAAAAAAACAGTTGCTTTTTATATATTTCCCTGCAAACCCACCCCAAAAAGGATACCCCAAAAAAACAAAGCCCATGTATGTATGGAATATGTCTAGACCCCTTCTTGGACGGGGCACATTGAGCCCTGGCTATTGCCAGCGGCCAGCGGCCAGTTTTGACCAACTCGTGTGCATGAGGTGCTGTGCTGAAGACCCACTATGGCAATGACGGTCTTCGAACGCACGTGGAAGAGTCAGGACCTTGTTCGGCCAGTGCAAGTTGAGGGTCCAAGATAAGAGACTTCCCTAAGGGTTTGACTCCCTACAGTGCTAATGTTATCATTTCTTCCTGGTATCACTGAATATAGTTATACTTTCTCTTTTTCCAGCCCTAAGGGTCACCCCTCCAATGAAGAACTCAAATCACGACCAGTCCCTCTTTCAGGCCCTTGATGGCAACCAATTTTTGGAGGCCCAGAAGAAGGAATCGAACCATTAAAGGGCTAAACTTTCTGGAAAACCACAGCGGTAAACAAACAGTTCGGCCTTGCCTTGGATAGTCCACCCAGGAAGCGAGTGAAGGATTTTGGGTTTTCCATACGCCTCAGGACCTCGGTGTGTTCAGTTGCTCACTCGCCAAGGGCAATACATTGTGACGTCAGGAGGTCGGCGATTGTGCTTCTTCCAGTTACGTTCAGGTTTGCGTGGCAATTTGGCCACAAATACTAAGATTGTTTGCAGACGTGCAATTGTCATCTTAACAAGTGCTTCTCAATTTTGGATGTTGCCGACCCTCCCCCCACCCCAAAAAACAACATGATGCGTGATACATGGCTGGTTGTTGGCGTGTCAGCCCCTTAGACCCCTTGGAAGTGGAGGTATTTTTTGCTTGGCCCGCCCCCCCCAGAAAACGAATGTGGCTTGTGCTCTGCCTTTGAAACCAGCAAGAAAGGGGTACCCACTCCAAAAAGAGACCCACATGGCTTTTCCATGAACCCACAGGCCGATCGCTCAGGGGTTGGGCACTTCACCTAGGGTCGCTGGTCACAGGCCTCTTCGGCTCGAGGTCTTTCGGGTTCGGGGGGAAGGGGGGGGCAACCAGAGGGCTGTAGAACTAAAGCCTGTCCACCAAGAAAGTCTCCAAATACAACCTTGGGCACTATTACGTATTTACCCATTGGATGAGGCTTGAACCATCTTGTGTCCCTCTTTGCTGACTATGGGTGGTCAAGACTTGAAGCCCAGGCGGTGGGGTACATTGAAGCGCCATCCCCTTGATCCGCAAATCCGGAAAAATCCCATGCTGAGGCCCACGGCCTTCATCGGAGCGCGACTCGGCGCTGGTCTGCGGGTCCTTCCCATTGGCAGGAAGTTCCAACTGCTGCGACAATGTTCACCCCGGATCAGTAAACGCCTGGTTGATTTTGATCGGGGGGTATCCCCTTTTAGTGGGGATTCATACGTCCTTGTAAACCAAGAAGGTGAGCAAGGTGTTGGCTTTGTTGATTTCCACAAATGTGTGTGTGTTTTGAGGCCATCCTTTGGTGGTTTAAAAGCAAAAAACCCAGGGGGACCAATTTGGCTCCCGGGTTCCCCATTTCGAGATGCGCAAATAGGGAAGCCAAGGGCATGGGAGGCCTGGGGGCAGAGCTCGGAGTGTCTCCAATGGCGACCATGGACGTAGATTCCCACTTTTCATGTGAGGCTGGGTCTGTTCTCAGTAAACTCACCTTTTTGACCTTTGTTTTTCCGAATTTGGTCCATTCCGAAGGCGAAGGTGAACCCTTGTATTTCTGGATTGTTTGGGCAACTGACTCCCTTTTGCGTGCAGCAATTTCGGCCAAACGCCTTGCGATTCATGTGTTCCAAATGTGCAAAGCGCGGCCAGGAAGTGGGGGATACAGTAGGGTTGCCCACATACTGTAGAAAGTCTAGTTTGAGAATCATAATTCTAAGATGGTGTCCACTACCTCCAGGGGATTAGTGAGATATACAACCAGATACACAACCACTATTGCCACTATATACAGGCAAAACGGTATGTACCCCATTTTTCCTGAAAGGTACTGGTTTGTGGGTGGTGGACGCATTAGATGGAAGTTTGGAAGTTTGCTTTCGTGTCTTCTTGTAGGGGGATCAGTCGGAACAGCCCGGTGCAATTGTCAACACTCATGCGAGCTGGGGATAAAACGAGCTTAGCCGCGAAGGGCTTTTGGGAATCCCCAATTCGGGTTGGTGCGGGGCATAAGTTTCCTGACCCCCATTGGTCCTGGTGGTCATTGGATGCTCATGTAAGCGGCTGAATGGAATCTGGAACAAAGGCGGCAGCGAAGCGACATGGTTTGGCGACAAAGGCTGCTGTGAATTATATTTAGTAGCTCCTGACTCGACTGGAGCCAACTCCTTACACTGTCGCAGACCTGAGCTGCGCCCTATGTTTACTCGACTTAAACAGTATCAGCTGTTCTTACCAGCAGCGCTTCCTTGCAACAGACTTGTTCATTTCAAAATGCTTGAGCAGGTTTTGTTTGGGAGGATGCTGTGAATGGACAGTTTCTTAAAGCCAGTTATATGCATACCATAGCACCTATAGGAGGGTAGCTGGAAGATAAACTTCCTGGACCCCTGTCAGGTGCCAATGACCCAACGACAATCCTTTAGCCTGCAGGCGCTTTGGACATGAAGAAGTCGCGCGGTTTTGGCTGGTTACGAAACACCTCGGGGCAGATCTGCCGGACTTTGGTTTTTGCCTGTCACCATTCTTCATCGAGAATGGGGGGAAAACACATGGGCACACTCTCCTGTTTGGTAAGTAGTTCAAGGGTTAGCATTGGACTGACAGGTAGGCCCTTCTTTTTCCAAACTCTCATTCCCTGATGGACTGCATCAACTCTTTGGGCTTGGACCATTTCAATGGCAAGCAAAAAGTGTGCTTGCTTTTGTTTGGCCAGTTCGTGGAAGTGAAAACTTGACCCTTAGGGCAGGGTCTAGATGAATTGACCCAAGATACATTCTGGAGATTGGATTCGGATCTAAGGGTCGGCATCGGGGCCGGCATTGGAGCCGCAGCGGGAGGCGACTTAAGTCGATGGTTTGCCGGTTTCGAAACAATGGTCAGGCTTGGCCTACCCCTTTAACTCTTTGCCTCCCGTTTTCCTTGACTTTGGCTATCACCAACAACAAGGGCAACTGTTTGCAGGGGGTGGGGGGTCTAAGTCTGGCCACCTTGTCACCTTTTGACCTCACCTTTTGGTTTCCCCTTTTTTCCCAGCTCCGGACCCGTCTTTTACAAGAAGTTGCGACCCTAGAAGCACCAAACAGAAAATGCCATCTGAAACAGCGAGCCTTCTTGGAGGCCAAGAAGCAGCAGAGAGCTTTTGAAAAGGTGATTACTGGTTCCCCACATGGGCAACTTTTCATATCCATTTCGGGTCGAACCAATTCGACGGTTTTTTGGGGATCCTCGAAGATGGGACTGTTTGAAGGCCCTCGGGGCACCATTGGAGAGCAAGATATGTATATAGAGCGGTATATCAGACATAACTAATATTTCCAAAGCCCATGTAAGGGCCACATAATTTGAACATATCATGGCTTATAGAATGTGGTGTAGACCCCACAACGCCCAGTCGAAGTGTTGCCCTTAGAGTACCTGAACCTCTTGCAAAGTGGCGAAAGGCTTGAAATTGAGGGGACGCGAGACTGTGGATCTCCGTAGCCAAACATTTCCCCTGGACCATCCCTTTCTCCATTCGGGTCTGCGGAACAGGGTGGCAGCCATGAAATTGTCCTGGGGAGGGGGTTGGATTATGCCACTCAAAGGAAACCAGCCAAGATGCCAACCACATGTGCGCCATTAACACTCTTGACGTCCCCTCCCTGAAATCTTGTCCTGGGAGAATTGGGCCAGAAGAAGTCCAACACACAAGAATGCCCTCCCCCAGAAGTATACTGAAGTGAGGAAGGTGAAGCTCGACTGCCTGTCAACGGGGCGCTGGACAACATCTAGCCACATTCTTCCCCTGCCAACCCCCCCCCCCTGCTGCCCGTAACGACTGCTTTTTGGACGGGCTTCTGCAAGGTGCTGGTGGCTTCCTTTAGCTTTTGTCAACATGGCCACCATAAGCACCTTACTTGCCTTGGGTGTTCAAACCACTTAGTAGCTTGATGTATTTCCCCAACCTGCTTCAGCTTTTTCTGGGGCTTTTTGTCGAGCTTGATGGAACAATGTCAGAAAGAAAATAGGAAGACGGTCGAGTCCAGGAAGGCTTGGAGTGAGCTTTTGGGTCCACAGGCTTGAACCCTGACGCTGTGAGGAAGACTTTGCTGAAGCGAGTAACGAGGACGTTGAAGAACGCACAAATCAGAAGTCAGCTCTGGCACTAGCTCTGGCTTTGCATCATCCTCCTCCAACCCCGGGGAGGAGTCGCAGGAGCTTTTTGGTATGATGATGATGATGATGATGATAATGATGATGATGACGATGATGATGATGATGATGATCATGATGATGCTAGCAATGATGGTCATGTTTACGCATCCCCGGCGTCACCAGCGAGGCCAACTGTCTATAGGGCCCAGCATCCCCTAAGACAATGATCGAGGAGGGTGGTGATGATGATCATGAATACGCATGAACGGAAACATACAATTGAATTATTCGCGTACAACAATGATTTCTTGCCAGCCTTCCCGTGCGCTGGCAAGAAGAGGTCAGTGGATTAGAGGTTGGAAGCGCATGAAGAAGCATGTTGGCAACATTACAGGGGGCTTGCTTTTTGTCCGTGGTACGTGGTACGCAAAGGGGAAGGAAGACGCTGACAAGTTTCGGTGTCTCTGTGGGGTCGCCTTTCCCCCTTCGTTCAGGGCATTCTCAGGTAGATTTAAAATGCTACTACTGCTTAGATATAAGAGCAAATCCCGCCTGGAAATTCAAGCAACAAAAAATCGAGTCCGCGACTTAATTAAAATGAACATGGGCTTCTTTTCGGTCCAGGGCTCCTCACTCGATCTTCCACTGGAGATTCTCGGGTGGCTGCCCATGGCCCCAGAAAGAAAAACAAAAAAAAGGCAACTTGTAAGGTATCCCATTTGGGCGAAAAAACCAGGTTTTGGGTGCAAGGAAATGCAAAACCGTCCTTGCAACTGTTTATGGGGTGGTTCGGACAGGTCTGGGCGTGTTCATGCTGTGCAATGCCAAGTGCCCGGGCGGCATCAAGGGTGCAGGAATCCTAGGCGGGGCTTGGGTCCTTCTCCCGGCGGCATCGGTCGGGTTTTGGACGGAAGCGAGCCATCCGGTGCTGAGAGGCGTGGGTCTGGTCTCCCGTCCATGACCCTGAAATGCGGGTTCATTACCCTCAAAAAATGGGGTCGTGACCCCCATCTTATATTGAGTTACGGAAATTATAGTTGTGTTTTGGCCTTTCTTGGGCCTGGGATTTTCCGTGTCCGTTGCGAACCCTCTTTGAGGGTGCCGAGCGTCAGAAACCAAACCCATCCTTCTGTGTCCAAGGCCTGAGACCACAGAGACCGCTGCATGGCCTCACAACCGGTGAACCCAGATGTACAGGGGTTCACAATCACTTAGTGTTTGCTCTTGAACCCATTTAGAGGGCAAACTTGAGGATGTGGACCCGGTGGATGTTCCCGTCCCAACACACCACACGCTTCTATGACCAAAGCCTGAGGTGCTGTCCAAGGAAGCTGTCGCTTGGGGGGTGGGGGTGGTCAAGGTCAATGATCCGCACATCTTTTGTGGCCATCTCACATGAAAGCGAGCGCACCGTGAAGATGACCCTGTACTTGGAGAGCCCTCATTTGAGGCCTCAGAAGTATAGCAAAACGGTAGCATGATGGTTAGTGGCTACAGCTTCAATAGCAACAGTCAATCACTACACTAAGAAAGGGAATGACATGGGGCGAAGCTTACAGGACTTGTATACTGTGGACGGGCAATCATGTTGTAGTTGGCTAATCCCAGTGTTCATAGGGTTTCATCCATCTCAAGTGGTGCAAAGCGGATTCTGCCCATCCAGGATGCTTGCCTGTAGCTACTAAACGGTTGCTTCCCTTGGCTACTGTTCCGGCAACAAGAAACACTGGGGATGTTGGCGATTCTCTGGCAAATACAGCGACCTTGTAATGGGTATAAACCTCCTTACTATTGATCTCTTATTGTTGACTGGTGAAGTACTGTAACTTGGAAGAGCAACTTAGAATTGTATGTGGGGGTTCCGAGGACATGAGGGAAACAGACACCTAGCTCTGAGAACTTGGACCCTAGCGGTTAGGTCTTATATTATTGAATAGATGAGACTGGCAGCAACTAAGCCTCAGCAGCTGGCAAATTTGCCAAGTTGCCACCTCATTGCTCGCCACCCCCGCCATACCGACTACAGTTCAGCCCAACCCATGAGGTGGACGCTCGCCAAACATCAAGGACCAACGAGTGCACAAAGGTGTGTATATATAATGTATTATGTGTATACATATTAAGCGGCATAAATACGTATAATATGGAGGAAACGGCATATACGCATATACGGGCCTCCTGTCACTTGCCTTACCTTGGGGTATTGGAGCTTTGGTTGCCGGCTGAAACGATCTGGATGAAGGTCCCCTGTTCCGGGAGAAATTGGTTCAAGAGGGATGTAGCACATGATCCTCCAAATACAATCAAACACAATCTCACAATGTGTGTGTGTGATTGTGCGTGTGTGTGGGATTGTGTGTGTGTGTGCGGGTGGCTCGCTTTTTTGGAGGCTCGATAGAAGCCACAGGGAGAACTGGGTTTCGTTTTTGTTGTTTTGTGTGGGGCGGGGGGTCCCATAAAAAATACGGCACACCCATACGAGTCCAAATCGCATCGACCTGACCTTCAGTTGTCCAATGTTGGCCCTTTGGCAGGAGAAGGCGCGAGCACAGATCTATATGTACCAAGCCATTTGGAGGGACACTTTGATCAGGCAACCCTTCGGATCGCGGAAATTAACCCCTGGCTTTTGTGGAAACCTTGGGAACACCTCCAACCTCCAAATCACGAATCCAGACCGGCAACTGGAGGTTCGGCAAGGCCTTACTAAGGGTGTTTAAGTAATAGCCCCTGTAGCTCCTTCCCATTGGCCCAGGTTCATGAAAATGGCTTTGTGCTGAGTCCAGTGAGTCAAGCCCAGGGCTCTACACTCCCATTAAACGAATGGCCCAAGGGGACCCAATTCAGATGATAGAACTCCTGAACAGCAAACCATGGTGGCCATATGGGGCGCGAGGCGGTGTTATTCTTGTGGGTAAAGGGGACAACCATCATTCGAAAGGGCGGGGGAGGGGGGGGTTACTTTGACATACCAATATATTGTTAATATTAAACTAACCTCTTCTTTTCATGGTACCCTAAAGGTTATGACTTTCCCCAATGCAGACCCCCGCACCCTCGAATGAAGAACCGACCAATTTCTCAAAAACCCTTGAAAGCAACCAGCTTTGAGGGCAAAACAGCCGAAACAGACCTTTAGTTTGAATCCCAGTGCCATGTTTGTTTTTTTAGTTTCGCCAGGCGGCACGCTGAGCGCGCTGAACCCGCTCACGCTGCTGTCCAAGAAGGCGCAGACACGAGAGACGAGTTCGCCCACTGAGCATTGTACTTGTGGATAGGGGCTACTTTTTTGAGGTACATGGTATAGCCATGTATAACCCTGGAGGAGAGACGCGGGGTGCTAAACAGCTCATACCCGGGTGATGCCCCCTCCAAAGCGGACCCTCTGATGAAGAACCCCGACCCGTTTCCTCAGGGGCCCGATTCCTGAGGTCTCGAAATGGGAAACCCTCCAAAATGGGTGGTTTCCTTTGGTTTCCTAAACTGAACCTCAAACAAATGGTACCGAGTCAAGCCAAGACAGACCCTGTCTGAACTGGCCAACATGTTGTTTGGCCAAAATCCTCTTGAGGACGAGAAAGAGGAGAAGGAGGCCGCGAAGGATCCAGACCCGCAGCAGAAATTGCCTTTCGGATGCAAAGCACGTTGTCCACCCTCAGGGCCCTGAAATCTGTTTTTTTTTGTTTTTCAAGGGCCCCTGAGGGTTGGGGTTCCAACCGCAGTGCCAATGCAGGGTCAGCTCCAATCGAACAGAAGTTCCACTCTAGGCATCAGACAGCACCCTAAATAGGGTCAGGACCTCCATCGGAAGGTGTTGGTTGCCTGAAAACGGATCCTTGTGTGCGTGTGTTGTGTCTTTTGAGGAAGCCCTTTCAGATTCCCAAACGGTCCAATGAAGGGAGTGGTGTCCAATGGATCGTTTGGGTCCTAAAAGGACACCAAAAGGGAACCCCACCATTTTGGGTGGTCCAATTATTTTTACACATGGCCATTGTGTTGGAAGTGGCGTCCGTGCAGCACTTGTCTTGTGCGTGCCCGTCCCGAGGTTTAAGCAAGTGGATTACATAGTGGCTTGGCAGCAACCGGCGCCCTCCGACTGCTGCTTGGACTTGCTTGGAAGCAGACAAGTTGGAGGGTGCTGGAAGAGCTGGTTCTTGTGCAGCCGATGTTTGCTGCAAAATGTGCTGGGGCTGATCGTGTATTCATGCTGCTTGGAGCTTGCCAAGGAGAAAGAAATCTGCAACATGAATTGCAAAGTGGCAGCTCTGCCTCTTGGCTGAACGGGACGGGAAACGAGCAGAAGCACAAGGAATCCAGTGGAACCCACCAGTACATTGCAACTTTTGAAGGGGAAATCCAGTTACCCCTGAATCACACATGAAGAAATTTGCCTTGAACTTTCCCCTATGCGCACGTCACGCTTTTCCCCTTTGCAAGGGTCATGACCCCTTCGATGAAGATTTTCGAGGCCCGCCAATGGAGAACCTATAGTGACCAATTCCTCAGGCGACCTTGAAAACCGCCCGAGTTAGCCCAAGACCAATCCAGACCCTTACTTGAGTTCCACCCAACTGTCAATCGCAACTGAGGGTGGACAGACTCAACTGTTTGTTTGCCAAATTTCTTTGGAGTGGGGAACACCCCTGCAGATGCAAGAAGAAGGTACTCTTTGCTTGCGATCCCTTTCGAAAACATCGGGAGAAGCGAAGGGACCGCCGCTGTGTTCGGTTGAGGGAATTCCCTTTTCGTAGGTCGGAGGCCATGTGGGTCTCCTTAACACATATCTACTGAATTTACATGGACCTCACTGGTGTTCACTTCGCGAAAAGCGAGGGGCCGGCTTCAAGAAACTGAACGGGAAGCTCACTTTCGAGATGTTTTCTTGTTTCCCGTGAACATGGGTGTGTCTTTTTGTTGAGGGTACCTTTTGGGGGTTGGTTTAAAGGGAAGCCAAAAGGACAACCACCAAATTTGGGGTACCCAAAACTATTTTGAGAGATCCCATGGCTGGTCTTGAATCCAAGGCCACAAGGAGAGACCAACTTTGTTTGCAGGGTGCGTTTTCCTTTGAGCCGAAAGGTGATCGACCAGCCAACACCCTGACAATCCACGAGCTTGGACGGTGAACATTGGCAATTGCTGCATGAGTGGCGGTAACCAGAACTTTGGTGCATTTTTCTTGGATGTTAGAACTTTAACTTGTTGCCAACGAATGGGTTTTCAGTTAAACCACTAAAAGTTGTTCACTTTTAGCAGGGGACTGAAAGCAACCGAGAGAACTCCACATGCCGGGAAACCCGAAAAGAAAGGTGCTCGACCTCCGTTTCTTCCCGCGCACTCGTTTCCGGTCCTTGAGGATGGGCGCCGCCGCGGGCGCTGTGGCAGGAGGGACCATCGCCAAGGTCAAGGCCTCGCTGGAATGCCGCGCTTTCTCGCTGTTTGTTTTTTTTCTCCGCCGGCTGGGTGAGTGAAACCGGTGAAAGAGAGGCTGGGTTTATAAAAATACATATATATATATATATATATATGTATTTGGATACACATATGGGTTGGTGGTTCCCGCCAGCCCCTTATCTTTTTCGCTTTTTAGGGTTTGGGGGGTCCATTTCACCCACTACAAGTTAAACTTGTGGCAGCAGATCCGAGCACAGCCCAGATGGGGGCGGTTGTCAAAATTGGGTAACCCCAGAATGGAACCCTGGAAAGTGTTTAATATGGAAACAAGGACTAAGAGCTGCGATCGTTTGGCGGTATAATTTGGACTCATACTCATACGGGTATAAGGGTTGACCCCCATTCTTGACCCATTTTCCCGGGTAGGCCCATTTTTAGAAGAGGATCCCTGAAGAGGCTGGAGAAGGTTTGGCTGGAGGTATCTGTCGAAATAGCCCCCCCCCCCACAAAAAAGAAACACAATCACAAGTATCATAATGACAGCAGCTGGGCCTTTATATATGTATATACACATCAGTTCATTCATATTTTCTCCCAACGGTCCCGAGCTTTGGGGTCTGACCCGGTGTTTTATCGGTTGTTATTGAGGGTACTTGAGGGTTTGGGGGTCGTGACAGCTGTGCAGACTCCACTTCCGGATCTTAGCATGGGAGAAAATCTTTGCTCCGGTCAAAAGTCATGCTGAGCACATTCACTGAAGCTACGGATTTGCCTGTTTCGCCGGAGCCGGCGAGTTGTGGCAAAGGAAGTAGCAACTCACCTCAGTCTTGTCGCTCGCACGTATCAGAAGTACACTGCGAGTGGCCATAATGGTATCTATGTCAATCCTATTCAGTCGGGCGAAGAGCGACCTTCGGAAGCTGTGGCATTCGAGTGCCGGTCAACGCGTTTGACGGCCTCATGGCTAAAACTGAATCTCAGGGATACTGCAATTCACAAACTGGACATAGGGGCACTTTCATGAGCCCCAATGTTGGCCCTAACCTGGTCGCTTTGGCTTGGCGGGGTCATGACCCTTAAGGAGAATCAGAACAAAAACGTGGTGAAATTAATCCAACACCCTGTGAAAATTAAGTCCCATGCCACTATATTTTTTCAAGGTGCGCAGTTTTACTGGTACCGGTTATATGAACCCCCAGCACTGGGTATATCAAGTCCCACTGTTTTACTGGTGAAGGGAGCCCTCAACACAGTGCAAATTGAATCCCACCGTTTTTCTGGTTGTATGAGCCCCAACACTGGATGTACCAAATCCGACTGTTTAACTGGCTATATGGGCCCCCAACTGGGTATAATAAGCCCGTTTCACTGGTGATGCGAGCCCCCAACACTGAGTAATGTCCCATAGCTTTTTGGATATATACGATATGACCCCCAACACTGGGCAAATTAAGTTCCATCGTTTTTGACTGGCGATATGAACCCGTAGATTGTGTCCCAGTGTTTTACAGGTGAAACCGACAGATTCAGTCCCAGCACGCTACTCTGGATATATGAACTCCCATTGCTTTACCAACGCTGAAGAAATCACACTTGATATAGTAAGTTCCATGGTTTTACCTACATAACCCCCCCACACTGGATATATCATGTCAGGCTGTTTTACAGGTCAAGGAATCCCCCCAACACTGTGCAAAGTGAGTCCCACTGCTTTTTCTGGTTATGTGAACCCCAACTCTGGATGTATTAAGTTCCCATTGTTTTACTGGTGATGTGAGCTCTTAACGCTGGAGAGTTCTGTGAGTCGCTGTACAAACCCCGTCGCTGGATATATGAGTGAACCCCGAACTTTTTCTTCTTTAAGTCCCACTGCTTTACTGGTGATATGAACCGCCCAACACTAGATATATCAACTCCAATTGCTTTGCAGGGTATATGAACCCCCAACACTGGACATACTCATCCTGTTGATGTCATTGTTTTAGAAGCGCAGCAATTGTTTTGGTTTGAATCACGAGACTCCCGGGAAACCAGGCAAACCTTTGCTTTCAACTCGCGCAGACGGGGGGCGGCATGGCGGGGCCGCTGGACGAAGATAACACCGAGACCTTCTTCGTGCTTACCAAGCAGCCGCTCGGAAAGCCGGAAACGCTCACCTCCAACCACGTAGGGTGCAGAGGGTTGACCTGCAAAACTGTGGAAGACAAGGGTTTAACCAAACACAATTTGATTTAGATGCTGAAGCTCCGTTTGAACAGTATCCACAACCGTGGTCAATGTTATTCAAGCTTGGCAACATAACAGTCAGGTCAGTAGGGAACCATAGGCGACTACCCCTAGTAACCCCACTTATATCCGGACACGGCTATCCGTCGTACATCGGTTCAACAAAGCCTCAACCACGGGATATATGCACGCGGGATGCCAAAACGGGGCTGTGCACCATGGGTCGCGGCTCCCAAAAACGTGTCCGTTGTCTTTTTTTTTGGGCGGGGGCCAACGTTACAAGAAGCATGGATCGGGCTCTTAGGGTGCCTGGTGTATGTTGAACGACCGGTGTCTCCCTTGACGAAAAGAAGCGCTTCACGGCCAAAGCTCGGCCGTGCCGTGCAGGCTTCCGGCGCTTAGGGAGGCCTTGGGATGTGAGCACGGGACTCCTTCGAGTGACCAAAGGGCGCGACAAGAAGGGCACGCTTTCCGACTTGTTCACTTGACCCCGTTGATTTCTTGATTCCACACACATGGTTTAAATATCCCAATCACGCTTGCCCAGGGCGCCCCAAAAGAAGTTCCCCGTCCGCCAATCACGCCTGGGTCTATTTGGGGCTCTTGAGGGGGGGTGGTTGGGAGCGGGGCCTTGACGGTGGTTGGGAGCGGGGCCTTGACAACCATAGGAGTTCTTGAAAAGCATGGCCGACCCAACTCAATTCCGCAGTTTCTCGACGGATCGTTGCTTTTCTCCGGTCTTTACTTGAAGCCCGAGCTTTGACTGCTTTGGGCCATTCCACTCGAGTGAGCCCAAATGAAGCTCCCTCCTTAATCTGCTTCATCTCCATGTTTCAGTGTATTTTTGCTCAGCTCAGGATGGAGGATATGCGGAGCGCCTTGGCAGAGCCATTCAAGAGTGTCCTCTGTTCCTGGTGCCCATGACCAGCCTGAATAAATATCCAAAGCATGGGGGCGTGTTGACCATGGCTACGGCTAAATTCCACACATCATGGTCCATGTCTGCCTTGGGGCTTGACAAAGACATGATGCGTTTCGGCAATGCGTGCCCAGACTCCGCAATCCAATCAACATGTCCTTGCTGGTTCAATAGGCAGGGAATGAATGACCTCCATAAACAGACCCTTGTGGTTTCCTTGAAGGGAATCCCCAAAACCGGTCCATTCCAAACACCCGGACTCGTCATTCCCTAGCTATCGCACTAGCAAGCTTCCTGGTCTCTGAGGGCCTCCCCCTTCTCGCCCTAGTGAGGTTGGATCTTTAACCTTTTCAGCTTTTTGGGGAAATCCTTATTTAGCGGCTATTTTACCCCTGGCCCGGAAACAACCGACCAATTCCTTCAGGGCCCTCAAAAAGCAACGTGGTTTGACCCCAAATGCACCTGGAAAAAGAGTATGATGATGTGGGTAGGGGGCTTTTGCCCCGATTCAGCTACCATGGTTGGGTTCAGGACAACCAGTGTCAGTGTTTACCGTTCGAGCGGAGTTTCATCATCTAAATTGGGTTGAACCCTAAGGCTCCCGATTGCTCGGTCCTCCAAAAAGGCTTTGAAGGGTTGCGATTCGGGTTCTCCATTGGAGGGCCCGGGTGCTTCACAGAGGCAATGACCCTTAAGGTAAGACCATCCGTTGAGCATTTGTCATCAAACAGGCCATCGAACAAAACTCGCAGGTCAAGTGGACGATGCGGTTGGCCGTGTACGATCGCTGCAATCGCAGGAGGGGCATCGGGGATCTTTAGACTTTGTTGTCCGAATCCGAGGGCACCCTCTTTCCAACACATTGCGATTCTTAGCCAATACTCGGGCTTACTGTTTGCTGGGGTCTAGGTCTGGCCCGGAATCATAGTGGACAGAAACAGTTGGTGTCTTAAATATGGTAACCTTCCACGTGTGATAGAAAGATGATAGTACATGGCGTGATCATGCTGCGGGGAGGAGGGGTAACTCAGGTGTTGGAATTACAACGATTTGCAGATGGTTTGAAGGTGAAACAAGTAACGACTGGCCAGAGATCCCGTCAAAGCCATCCACACCAGGGAAGTTACACGGCCAAATTCCTTGTATTTCATCTATCTTTCAGGGTTCCCTATATGTTCTCCTTAAAGGGTGGTTTTGAAAATCACCTTTTGCCACACGACCCTTCCAATGCAGACCCCGTTGAGGGCCCTGCAAAAATCGGGTGTTCCTAGGGTATATGTCATGTATGTTGCAGGGCTCCCCGTATGTCTCTCTGTCCGTTTGCTGAGCGAAGCCCTGATCTCAGAGGTTGGACGAGTTGCAAGTTCGAGATATCATGAACCAAGCGTTGCCAGACTTAGCTTACTTTTCGTAGAATTGACTGTTTGAGTCGTTTTTTGGTGTGTCATCCTATCACTTCAAGCGAAAAGTCAACTTTTGCAGTCCAGTCCCCGATTCCAATTCTATTGACCTTGCGTACCTCCCAGACTCTTTGTTGAAGGCCAAAAGAGGCAGTCACAAGTCAAGAGACTTTGGGCGACCATGATATCCACGATTCCGGGATGGGCCACGGAGTCCCTCTCTGGGCGTTTTTGACTCACTTGCCACCATCGGTGACATGGGTACGAGTGCACGCAGCGCTGGCCGGCCAGGAGAGACAACCGGACCGAACTCAGTCTCTGAGATGTGACTTCATATGACATGCCATGCGAGGTGAAGGGAACCGGGCGACACCGCAATGCTTCGGGACTTCAAACGCTTCACCCCCCAGACACAATTCATTCCTAAGGGTCATGACCCCTCCAACGTGGACCTCCGGGACCAATTCCTCAAGGCACTTGAAGCGGACCCTCAGAGCCCATGTTCAGATGTGAGCATATGGGTGCTTTTTTCTTGGGCGACCCCCAAGATGTAGGTTTCCCTCCTCTTGGTTTCCGTTTAAACCAAAAAGGCACGCCATACTGCTGACCTGAAGGGACTGCTCTGGGCTTTTTCTCGGCGCCGATCCGGAGAGTTCATTGCAGTAGTACTCGTGCCTAGATAAATGGAGGTTTCTCAAAATGGTGACCCCTTCCAGCACGCCCCAATACCTGAGTTGTCCCATGTCCATCAAATCCCAAGTACTGTCCAAACAGCCGCTGTTGGGGGCTGCTGGTGGGGGGAAGCATTTCATGGAAACCGCTAGATGTGGAGCACCTGAGTTGAACTTTGGAACCAAACCTCACGCCCGGAGTTGGACACCCATCACCACTGATGATCGAACCAAAAGTGTCGACTTGTCCAAACCACTGAAGTGAGAGTACGTACGAGTACCGTCAAACCCACTATATAACATGGCACCTGACAGTTAGCTTTAAGAGGAAACTGATCTTCCAGCACCCTCCCAGTCCCAAATGCCTTCTAGTGGGAGCAAGGCTAGCAAACCAGACATGGTAGTTAGTCTACTTTTCCCTTTACCGGGGTTCCATTTGGGGTTGCCCGATTTGTGACCCGCAGCCAAATGTTTCGCCTGTGGCGCCCGAAAGCGACCTGTCGCCCGGTGCCCGGAGCCTGGAGATCAACTGCCATTTGCTGAACTCGAGTCCACGTGGCTCCGTTCTGGGAGCTAAACTGGTATTCAAGTCTTCGACTCATTTAAAGAGGCGTTAAGGAGCAGCAAGGAGGTTTTGCAAGTTAGTAGTTTTGCAGGTTGCTCAGTTGTTGCTTTCTTTTTGGCAGGTTTTTCAGTTGGAAATCCTGTTGGGCCACATGGAACCCAAAAGAGGGGTTTGGGGGTCCGGTAGGATGGCTTCCACTTCCCCAACCTACCCTCCATGGAACATAGCACCACAAAGACACCACTGTTCTAGAAGTTAAATCCCCATTCTTTTCAACCATCGTTCTTTTCAAACAGCTGTTTTCTCGGGTTTCCGGAGGGTTTCTAGAAACAAGGATCCCTGAAAAAATGGGGAAGGTACCCCTGGAACTGTGCAGAGTTTTGTAGTGGGAACTCCCAAAACCACACCCAAAGGCTGCATGTAACCCAATGCACCCCACAATGAATCGCGATGAATCACTGTGGCTTTTGGAAACCAGTCGCCAACGAAACTCTACATGGCCATGAGTGCATATGGGTGTGTCTTTTTTGAGGGTAACGCCTTCTTGTAAAGGCACACCATGGGTTCACACTATGTTCCCTGACGACGCTGGCTTCCAAGGGACCAGAGGGTTTGAGGCTCTCAAAGACCTGGGCCGCAAGTCGCAGCATGGAAATATGTATATCATTTAGTATATCCCCATCCCGCCTTAATGGTTTGGAGATAGTGTAACCCTATGCATCTTGAGGGTGTTTGCGCTCCTTCTGCTTACAACAACTTTTAGAACTGAAGGGCGCATCAGAACCAGGGACATGTTGCCTAGCTTGACAAGGGGATCCAATACGTGAAATACACCTTTACTTTGGCTTAGAGCTGGTCATGGACCCTCCATTAATTTGAGACCACCAATGTGAGGGTTCCTACGTGAATCACAATGGTCCACATTTGAGTTTTGACGCGTCGTAGGGCCTGCAACATAAATTGGGATGGTGACAAGGATTCCAAGATCCTTTCGGATATGTCCAAGTTGGTTTGGAACACGGTTGGTTGAAGGGACATGGTCATGGTTTGCTAGTATTGATCGCGGCTCGTGACAGGCTTCCGAAGCCATACCACACCCCGAATTACTTGCTTTCGGGGGCAAATTTGAGGGCCTAGCTGGAGCGGGGCAATATCCATCACTGTTGGTTATTGCTCGGTTGCTTGGAATCATGTGTGTTTTCCTTGCGAACCAACTAAGCTCATTTTGTGGTGCAGTTTTCGTTGCTACCAAGCCTTTCGGCAGCGCAAATGGAAGTTCGCAGCGCTTGGCTTCCCCGGCGGCGCGAAAACGGCTCGTCGACTCAAAGTCGGATGCGCCCGGGATGGAAGGAGAGGGAGCAAATGAAGTGACTCAACCAGAAGGTGAGGTTGGTTGGACAAGGTTGGACAAAGAAGGGTCAGTAAATGAAGTGCATGGCGGTTGGACCAGGCTTTCTTTTACAGAAAGCCAGAGATCAATATTTGTGCTCAAAGTTAAGTCCTATGGGCAACTTGTTCACCGGTATAGGTGTCTCCAAATAGGGCGCCTTGGTGAAATCCAGATGCATCCAACGCTAAGAATCTTGGGGCCTCAAGGTCAATTTTGAGGTCCAAAGTCTTTCAATGATTTCGATGGAGGTCCCAATGGAGGGTCCAATGCTTCCTCTCCCGCCTCACGAAATTCAGGGCCTTCAGAGGCTGGACACGGAGTAGAACCAAACAGTCCAGGTCTATCCCGAAGATCGAAGGGTCCAAGTAGCCTCTGAGGAAGAAAGAGCTTGAACCCCCAACACACCATCCATTTTTTCAAGGGGAAAATGGGACCCTAAGATTGCGACTCAGGTTCCGTGTGTTTCCGGCCTTGTTTCCAGGTGCTCAACACGTTGCAGAGTTCAGCCCAACACATGTCCATCTGGGCAAATTAGAAGCTGAGGTAGGAAGAGACCAACAACCATGGCCATGAGGCTTGCTACTCGGGGATTCCTTGTTTTCGGTTTGTGAATTCTATGAAATTGCCCAGATGTCCATGCTTTGGGTGGCCAATTGTGCCCAGGCAATGCAAAAGCATATGGGAGGAAGCTGTCCCAAGAAGATCCTGCAGAGCAAGAAAGCGCATTAGAAAGATGCCCAGCTGCCGCATATTCCATTCGATTGAAGTTGGGAAACCGCACGGATTGCAACAGCACTTGGGGAGTTGAACATTGGAGCAAGCAGTCATAGGGTTCTGGTTTAGGACCACTTTGATTGCTGAAGTCTGTTTGTTGAATGCCCTTGAGTTGGAAGGTTATTACTCGTGCCGCCCAAGGCCGCTTTTGTCAGTTGGCATGTTGTGAAGAACCAGGTTTCCAGTTTTCCATTGTAAATGCCTCCTTTCTCCTTTTTGGTCAGGGCTTGACATCAAGCTAAAACAAGTTGGAAACATGGGAGGGGTCACATTCTTCGCCAATGGCAAGGTAAGGGAGCGAGTCCCGGAAGGGCCATTGGAAGGTTTCAGCCTTTGTTGAGGTCTATTCATGCCCAAGGAAGAGAGACGAAAGGAATGGCTTGTCCCTCCCATGCATTTACTGCCAGCCAATGTGAAGGTTGCACAAAACATTCCATTTTTTTTTTGCAAATGAGTGACTAGTCCAGAGACGTCTGATCAAGCAAGACCTCTGACAGATGGAATATGTCTAGCTGAAGGAAGTTCCAGAAAATGCCAACACGCACAATACACATATTGACCTGGGTTTGATGTGTTTTTTGTTTTTGGTCATTCTTTGAAGGTTTCAAGATTGTATTGAAGTTATTAGTTTATTGAATCTGTATCTGATATGTCTTGATGGTTTATGCTTATGTACGTGACACTGCAATCTTTGGGTTTTTGACGGCTGGCAAATATGAAGAGCATTACAATAGTTTATATGTCATATGTGTTGTATGTAGTTGCGGAATGTGTATGCCTTCTGAATTATCTGTATTCTATGACTTTTTGTTTACCGTTTTGCTATTTTCTATTAGTGTGTTCTTATATGATCAAGAATGGGTTTGTAAACGAAGCACATGAACAGATAATCATTCCAGAATGTAATTTTGTTCATTTATGTGGTCTCATTGATTTTTGTTTGTTGTTTAAACTATGAATATATTTTGTTTAGAGTAAATTAGCGATACAGAACAATAAGACCTTGTAATAAGCGAAACAGACAGATATGATATCTGCAATCTTTGAAAATTAGAATCAACCTTGAGAACACTGATAGAACATGTGTCAATAAGTTGTTAGCAAACATACTCAGTGCCTACACGATAGAACCCTTTCCATGTAAGAATCCCATCCCTTCCAGAACAATAAGTTTCAACTACTTTTAGGATCTACATCATGTTTAATAATCCCATATTGTAAAACGTACAGAATACAATGGCAAGGATTATACGAAGACAATCATACTATAACATATCAACATACACATAGGTTACACGGAATAATTCTAGATAAAGAAACTTGGACTACACACATATAATATTATATATACATATTCGTAAATTGTGACAGCTACAATTGTAAGCACAAAGATAATATAACTAATGTCCAAGCCCTTAAAGTAGATTGTGTTTTTGATTTTTAATTGTGGTTTGTGTTTTAAATGATACTATTGTGATTGGTATTGTTTTTTTATTCAAGGGACCCAACGATGGATCCAACTGATGGATATATATATATATATATTATAAGCATACATAAGCCATAATAAACAAAACGGCATCAATAAATCCGAACATATGAACATGAAAGACAGATGACATTCAATATCAGCCTTATGGTTGTCGAAGCCTGGGCTTTTGGTAGCCAAGTGATATAAACAAGCGTTGGATGGGTATCCCATTCAGCGATATCGCAAGGGTCTCATTTCCACCACCGGCACCCATTTTGGTTGGGCCCTCAGCAAGCGGGTTCTCAGGATGGCATCCGTTTTTAGTCACCAACACCTTCGAGTGGAGGCCCCAAAAGCCTCCTGGTACCCCATGTGGCCACTTGTTTCTGGTCATACGCCTTTGACCGAAAAATGATCACACGGATGTTACACTTTGTTGTGAACAGCATGTTGAACAATTAATCAAGGGGGTTCATGCGGGTCGTGTATACGCAAACTTGGAACAACATGTCTCACGC